CAACCAAAAGATGGAGGGTTACTTCCTCAACCAACAAGTGGGGGGTTGCTTCCTTAACCAACAAATGGAGGGTTACTTCCTCAACCAAAAGATGTAAGATAAGCAAATATAACAAACATCTATGATTAATCAAAATGAGTGGGAGTCAAAGCCTCCATACAAGCTCTTTACTAGTTCTTGGTGTAGTCTAAGCCTACAAACCAAGCTCTAGCTTCCTATTTTACAAGAGAAAAATGCACACTTGAAGCTCCTTTAATGAGGGTATTTATAGGTAAGGAAGGGAAGGGGGGAAAATAGCAGAGGAAATGAATAGTGGATGCTGCCCAAGTCCAAGTGAAAGACCAACTACTCTATAGGTAATCAGTGGAGAACGTTCAAACGTGAGTTGACGTTCGAATGTTGTCTATGTTTTTGCAGTATGGACATTCGAACGGTGTCTATCGTTCAAACATGTCTTTAGTTTTTGCTTTATGGGCGTTTGAACACCAGATGAAGTTTAACCATATCACTCAAGTTCTCACACCCCAACTCCAAGGACATGACCGGCCGTGAACCATAGATCCATAACCTATGGAACACGTATGCCTAACAATAAACTAATAATCCAAACAAGTAAAGATGGCTATACGATATATGCTACGGAGGTCACAACACTATTAGTCTCAATCAATTCCTGAGTCCGCTATTGACACTCCAATCGTTTACCTAAAAAAATTATTATTTTGAAAACATGAGCTAAAAAACCCAATGAATGGAAAGGCATGCATATTCAAAGTGGCTGAAAAAGAACATATTTGGCATACGACATGTAAATTAAAGGTTTGTAAAAATAACTTCATCAAGATAACAAATTTCTCAAGAATAACAAAATCGGATTCCAACAAGAAATCATACCACAATAGTAAATCATATCATAATGGTGGAGACTGCACGATATCCAATAATCGATGAGAACCAAATGCTAAATATAATAACTGATAACAAGAAAATATATATGGCACACGATAGAAAATCATAAACAAAGCCAGTAAAAATATTGTGACAATAACAAATTATATCATCATCTCATACTGGTAAGGACTTGTACGATATCTGGGAACCATACCAAATGCCAAAAGATCTCAAGGTTAGATCCAACATCGTACTTAGGATCACCATGGGTTGCCGCTCGGGAACTGTTCCCTAAGACGATCCGGTGAAGGTCACCAGGAGTTCTAGAAACTTCTTCAACATTCTAGATTCTTCTAGATTGTTCTAGACTATTCTAGGTTATTCTTGAACTTTCTAGATCTTCTAAACTATTCTAAATTTTTTAGGAACTTCTCTAATATTCTAGATTATTCTAGACTATTCTAAATTCTTCTTCAATTTTTTTTATTCCTTCTAAGATAATATTTCCTAACTAGTTCCTTGCCAAATTGGAACGGGGTATTACACAAGTGGTCTGTGTCCTCTGAGGAATCCCACTTCCATACTTCATGCAGGACTTGACATATTTCACTCATTACCCAAGTCTTCAGTGGACGTTCGAACGTGGTACTCAAGTGCACTTCCTTCTTTGCTGCAACACGTCATGTCTTCACAGTTTGGTCTTATCTTTGTTCCAGTGGACGTTCGAACGTGAGTTGGCTTTCGAATGTTCCTGCTTTGTTCCAAAGCTTCTCCAATTTTGTTCCCTAATGCGCTGGTGTTACATTCAAGTGTGATTTTTGTTACCCTTGCACCCTTTTACACTTTAGAACCTGAAATGTCATTATTTAAACTCCATCAAAGTATAATTAGTCCAAAAAAGACATAATAATATGCTACATTTAAGTAGTATTCAAGCTGCGGTTTCTGAGCTGGAAGCTCTCAAAGGTTCGGGTCCAAATGGCTTCCTTGGAATCTTTTTTCCCCATTTTTGACATATTGTTGGGCATGATGTTTTAATGATGGTTAAAGATTTTTTTGCTGAGGGCCATCTTCCAACTGCTCTTAACCATACTAATATTGTTTTGATCCCTAAAGAGGCTGCTCCCGAATCTATTTCTCAATTTAGACCAATTGCCCTATGTAATTTTGCGTACAAGGTGATTTCGAAGGTCATGGCAAATAGGATGAAGGGTGTGTTGGGTTCCATCATGTCCCCTCACCAATCTACTTTTATCCCAAATCATCTCATTCAGGACATCATTTTTATTGCCAATGAGGTTTTCCACCACCTTAAGGGCAAGAAGAGAGGTAGGATCCCAGATCTGGCTATCAAGATAGACATCAGCAAGGCCTATGATCGTGTGGAATGAGATTTTCTAGAAGCCACGATGCTGTCTTTGGGGTTTGACAGCCATTGGGTCTGAATTGTAATGCAATGTGTTTCCACTGTTTCTTATAATGTGGTGTTGAATGGGGTTCGTATTTGCGACGTTAGACCACAAAGGGGCCTTAGACAAGGTGACCCGTTATCTCCTTGTCTGCTCCTTTTCGTCGCTGATGTTCTTTCCTCCATGATTTTGAAAGGTTTAAATGATAAGAAAATTATGAGAATTAAAATTAAGAGGCGAAGTCTAGTCATCTCTCATTTGTTTTTTGCGGATGACTCCCTGTTTTTTGCTAAAGCAAAGGAAGCGTATGTCTGTGAACTCATCCGAATCTTACAAAACTACTGTATTGCCTATGGGCAATGTGCCAACCTCCTCAAGTCGGGTATAATTTTCTATGAGAATGCTTTTGAGGACCAGAGGTCCTTTTTCTGTAGGCTCTTAGGGATGTAGCCTCTTCCTCATCACGCTAAATATTTAGGCCTTCCTACTTCTTGGGGTCGCTCCAGGAGTGAGGTTTTTGGTTTTTTGTTGGAACGAGTTGTGAAAAAACTTCAAGGCTAAAAATGTTCTTGTCTGTCTCAAGCTGGTAAGGAAATCCTTATAAAGGCAATGATTCAAGCTATCCCCAATTATGCTATGTCGGTTGTGGCGTTTCCTAAAAGCTTTTGTGATAAGTTGAACAAGTATGTTAGAATGTTCTGGTGGAAGGGGTCTGCTAAGACGAATGGCATTTCTTGGAAGAGTTGGAGGTGTATGACTGGTTCCAAGTTCTCCGGAGGCATGGGCTTTAAGGATTTTAATTTATTGAATCAGGCTCTTTTAGCAAAGTAATGTTGGAGGCTTATTTCTCAGCCTGATTCGTTTTGGGCTAAATTCACCAAAGCCATTTACTTTCCCAATGTTGATTTGATGCAGACCACCCATGGATACAGACCCTCCTGGGCTTGGAGCAGTCTCTTGCATGGGAAGAGCTTTACTTGAGAAAGGTCTCATGTGGTAGATTGGGGATGGTGGGATGGTTGATTTTTGGACTGATAAATGGATCCACTCCTCACCTCTCATGCCATCCTTTCCCCTTTTCCCCTGCTTGTCATATTGTTAAGGTGACTGATGTTATTACGGAGTTCCCTTTTCAATGGGACACCTCCAGCTTTGTTTCTTTTGTCACAACGTCAGAGTTCAAGGCCATTACTGCTATCCATTTGTCAACTAGGGGGTGGGATGTGATAGACGTGTGTGGAGGCCTAACAGTATGGGGAATTACATTGTCAAATCTGGTTATTTACTGGGCAATTCATCTAGGCATGTTCTTGAGAAAGGTAGCACTTTTTTCCCCCAATCCCAAACTTTGGAAATCTATTTGGCATATGAAGGCTATCCCTAAGGTTAAGCATTTTTGGTGGAGGGTCTGCCACAATATTTTGGCCACATAGGAGAATTTATTTAAAAGAAAATGTGTGTCTTCGCTTTGCTGCCCTGTTTGCATGATGACCTCTGAATCCATTGAGCATGTTTTGTTTCAATGTGGCTGGACCAAACATGTTTGGTTTGGCTTGGACCTTCTTTTGGATGAGATGTTGGAACTTTTTCTTCTGTTATTCAAAGATCCTCCTGGCTTTTGGATATTGTTGGTGATGCTCAACATTGGCTTCTGGGTTTAGGTAAAGTGGGCACTGTGGGATGGGTTATTTGGAAATCAAGAAATATGAAGGTTTTCAACGCTGTGGAGGTTGATCCTTTTGCATCGATTGTTCGTGCTCAACATCTATGAAGTGATCTTTTTCAAGCGACGGCTACTGTCCAACTATACTTTGAAGCTTCTGTGGCCCAGGGGGTAAGTTCCTTTCACCCTGGGACTGGTCTTCTTGTTTGCTGTGATGGCTCCTTTTCTTCCAATTCTGGGAGGGCCTCTTCGGGTATGGTGGTATGTAACGAGGATGGTGAGTTGGTTTTTGGTGTTGCTAAATTATTTCCTGTTGTCTCCTCCTTGTTTGTTGAAGCTGAGGCAGTGCGCCAAGCTTCCCTGCTTGCTGATGCTTTGATGCTTTCTAATGTTATAATTATGAATGATTGTTTAAGTATTATCAAGTTAAATTCTACGGAAAGACGCCCCTTCATGGAAAATTAGCGTCATTATGGACGATATTAGATTTTATGGTAGGTTACATAACCTATGTTTTTTAGACAAGCCTAGGACTTGTAATAAGACTGCTTACTAGGTGACAGTTTCTACACTAACCAATTTGCTTCCATTGGATTGGTTAGGCTCCTCCTCCCTAACTTAAGATTTCCCTTCTTTCTGATTATAATCAAAATTTCTCAACTTAATACAATGTCTTCTGTCTTGTTTACGATCAAAAAAAAAAAATTGCGATCGTTATAAAAACTATACCCATTAAAATATAACAATCAAGTTTAATTATATTTTTTAATAAAAAATATTAAAATATTAAAAAAACACCCCCATTTAGCCCCCGTAAAAATGCCAAAACGCTGTTCTAGATTACAAATATGTGATTTCGCACCCAAGCAACTCCTTTAGAGTTTCTCTTATTTGGCGCGGGAATTTGGTCTTTAACTGGCTCATCCCCATCTTATCCTTCTGTTTACTTCCAACTCCAAATCCTTCACTCCACGCTCTTAAACCCTCTCAAACCCATACGACACCCCCTTATCCTCTCCACCATTCACCAACCAACGATGAGCATCAACGTATTACGTCCACGCACACTCACCTTCTTTCCTCCATTCCCACCCATTCAATTCCATTCTCTGGCTCTCATAAAGATCACGCCTTCCAATCGCACTTCCTGGGTTCTTCGCGGGCGAAAGAATCGTATTTTCAGGGTATTGTTACCTTAAAAAATCGAAGCTATTCGATACTACATGTCTGAATTTGGTTTTTGTTGATGGGTTTTTGGTTTTGTGGTAGGTTGTTCGGTCTTCGATGCGGGAAGATAAATTCTTGGAAGTTGAGGATGCTAAATTACTGGTGGAGACCTGCATTACGAGGACTTTACCCCCTGCATTGACGCTCGAGCAGGGACTTGAAAAGATTAAGGAGGCTGTTGAGGAGTTGAAGTCCAAGCCTCCTTCTTGTGCAAGGGGAATGTATAGAATCCAGGTAAAATTCATACTGCACATTTGAATCCGATTTGTTGATTTGGGGGAATTGAATGTGGTGACTGGTCGTTAAATGGAATGCACTTTAATAGCGTTATGATCAGCGTTGGCGTGTGCTGAATCTAGATTGAAAGTTTTGCATGGGATCCTGGGTTTATATGTATAAAGTATAAACAATAATTCCAAATGAAAATTGGTATCAAAGCCGACCCGTGCCCATGACTCTGTGGGTTTTGGGCACTACAGCGCGAGATCACTGTTGACGAGGTGGCCACGAGCCAATCGTGGTAATTATGATTGATTATGGGTGAGACCCATACTATCGTGTGCTGAATCCACATATTTTGTGGAACATTCAGACTTTTAAAAGCTGGAGCAGTAACTAATAAGAAGAAGAAAACATTCATAATAGTCATAGAATATATATATGTGCATATTAGTGCTTTGTATTGTGTAGCATGTGATAGCTTGTTTTCTTGAGTTATATATGCAACGTGATTTGGAAATTTGCAGGTTGCTGTGCCCCCTAGTGCAAAGGCTTTGAAATGGTTTTGCTGTCAACCTGAGTTGTCAAAAGCCTTTCCTTTGTTTTTCCTTTCCAAAAAGATGGAGAACCCAACATACCAAATGCTTTCTTTGGATAGAACTCGCGGGGTTTTTGGATTAGGTGCTGCATTCTATATTAAGAGCTCTTTTTCTTGTGCCTCAGCAGCGTGTAGTGCATTTCAAAGGTTAATTTTACCCATTATTATTTATGTCTTCCGTTTTGGTCTTTGTTATTTGTATTGAAGTACAATTGATGATAAGTAGTATATAGTGTGAAATGTCTGTGCTCTATGAGCATTGAAGTAAATTGCAATCCTTTGGTAGCGATAAAATGCTCTGGTTAACATGTGCGAGGTTATGGATCTGAATTTCAGGACAACCACCATGTGCAAACCTAAGGAAAAATTTAGGTCTATACAACCCCTCATGATTTGTTAACCGTGTCTTATATGTGCCAAACTAAGTAATGGCCTTCTTCAATATGGCAAAGCTTCGTAAATCTCTAGTGACTATTTTCTTGAAATAATTTGAGATAGAAGTTTCCCTTTGCATGGAACTATCAAGGATTGGGTACCGGAGTTGGTGGATACTTTTCTTGATCTTTGACATCAAGTGCAATTGTAGGGGGAGAGAAATGGTATTGGAGAGGAAAGGCCTCTTCCAAGGGAGATTTGTGCCCGGTTGGGAGAGCTTTCCTATACCTTGTTTACTTGGAAGGCAATCTCATTTGTCCAAAAGCTAGCCGAACTAACCATTCCCCTTTTCCCGAAGTTTTTGAATGGTCAGCTGCCCTTGTAAAATCTTGATTGGTGTTGCATGTTTCAAGGTGGGAGGAAGTCGTGAATCACCTTGTACTGCTTTATAATGAGGGAGTTATGGGTTCCCCTTTTCTTCTTCCTAGATTTTGTTGGTTGATGTCCTAACCAGTATTGGATCTCTTGTGTTGTGGGAAAGAGGTTGTGGTATTAGAGGTTTGGGTTGCGGTGCTATTAGGTCTTTGGTGGCAAGGAGCTCGAGGCTCTTTGAAGATGTTGAGGTGTCGAAATGGGAGGGAAGAAGAGCTTCTCGAGATTTCTTTTCATTTGTTATGGGGATAGGCTTTGTTCGTTGGATGGTTTTGTTGATTGTTTTGGGAACTTAGGAGGGTAGCTGATAGGAATCGGATTGTATTTCGTTATAGTAGGTGTAGACGTAAGGATTCTGAGTTATTTATTATTTTACTGCTTGAGACTTAGTTGTCATTTTGACTAATTATTTGCTTTAGGGTTTGTACACCCCATATATATAGGGGATATGATATTTATTTTTGATAGACTTTGATTATTATTGAATATTGATATTGCTTCTTTCCCAAGTTCTTTTTCTTTTCACATCCCCTTCTTCTTTTCTCATCTCTAATTCTTTCCCTTCATAATCTACATCAGTTGCTGAAAGAAAATTTAGGTGGTTGACTCCCTTTGCACGTGGTATCGAAATCTAAGATTTGAGCCCCCATGGACACCAATGTGGAAAAGTTTTTATGTGATTCTCTAGCCTTGCCTAAGGTATAGCAATGCATCTCTGCCAGACTTATGTTTTCCTTTCCTTTAGTTCTTGTAGATTAGGAAGTGTGACTCTTCTGATCTAGCTGCATGCTGCTCCTCATATTATTCTTACCTTTATTATGTTTTTTGAGACCGACACCATTCCAACATGAATATTTGATATAGGCTTGAGTGTCCAACATTGTCATTCATATGTTAGAGACCTCGAGTGCGTTTTGCGATACTTGCGAATGCGCTTTCCAAGCCAAAAAGTCTATTTGAAGATGTATGATTGGTTTGGTGGACCCACACCTCTATTTTGTTACCCATAATTGCATCAGTAGAAGGCCCATCTAGATAAGCTAGGAAAACTATGTTATGAAAACCCACTTTTTTGACTTCATGCGATGTCATACAATACATCTTAAGAGATTGCTTAAAATTTTCAAAATATCCATCTCTTTTCCACACCCATTTTAATCCCATGAGATTGTTATTCAGACCTATGAATATTGGGAAGAAAAATGAAGCCTAAAAGCTACATGTAACATGTGAAACGGAGCAAGTCAATGAGAATAAGTCGATGAACAAGAAATACAATTAAGAATATCAATAATAGATTCCATCTAGACTTAAGCTTCACTATTGATGAAATGATAGCCGTATATTGAATTCCTAAATTTTAGCTTACTAAGAATGAAAAAGACATATATGGTAGAAACGTAACCATAGAATATGACCCTAATCTAATTTCATATATTTGTTTCATACACAACGGGTTAAACTAATGTCTCAACTTAAAAGAGGTGACATCAGGTACCACTTGTCTACCATCAATGGGTAGTGTTATGTTAAAATTTTCTCTACTTACACTCGCTCCATTTATAATCATGTATAGCCCATGTTCGTGCATTATTGAGTTTGTCTAGTGTATAAGTCGTGTTTAGTGAATTCGTGCCATTTTTAACAAGGATTGTGTCCAACCATTTATTTGGCTAGGCTAACAGGTCCAATTGTTTACCAGCCGAAGCCGCTAAGACTAAGCTCAAATCTATGTTGATTTTTAATATTGGGTTCACGAGTTAGTTCTTGAATTGCTAGGCCTAGCTAGTTCAATATTTTAAGGTAGGATTATCTAACATTGCTAAATCAAGTTTATGGTATATATTATTTTTTTAGGTAGGAAAGGGTAATATTGTCAAATGTACATAATTTTACACTTTAAGATGTTTCCACCGACCATATTTTTATACATAGACAAACTTCTTAATTTCAAAGTACTTACAAAATCCATCTTCACCAAACAGTTAGTAGTTCTTGAAAGCCCATCTCAAAAAAGTCCATCCCCTAAATGGATTTTTATTTTGGGAAGCTACGCCAAATGCAACCTTTATCTCTTACCAAGTGCATACTTGCTCTCCTTGCATGCAGTAGATTCCAATTTAGAATGATTTAGTTTTAAGTGTGTAGGGATTATGAAATTTGAACCCTTCAGGCAGTCCGGTTGCTGTGAATGTGGGGTTGCATGACAGGCTGATGATTTATTATTCCAAACAAATATGGATCATTGATTCTTTTCCAAAGTAAATTTATGGTTTAGTGTAGTATGTTGATTTTTACTCAATGTGGTTTTTGACATCATGCAATTTAGCTATAGAATGTTTCCATGGTATGTCTGCAGATATCTTTTGGTTGATTCAACACTTGTAATGGCTTATGGTTTTGTGGATGCCAATTTAGACACAACCTTATCTACCATGAAGAGCGAGATGGGTCCATTTTACCTTTTTATTCCCCAGGTAAGCATGCATCCTCTTGCATGTTTTTTCTTTCACCTACAGTCAAACAAATTAAACCAAGGGTGCTAAGGTCTCTAGATCATTACCTTTATCTGGTTTATTAATTTCTCTGGTCCATGTTTATGATAATACTTTAGGATTAATTAAGTTGTTTATTTTTCATTTAATGAAGAAGTTAGATTTAAGGATTCGGTGAGTTCTGTTGTATTTTTGTCCTTGCTTTCAGTGTGCTGTATGTGTATGCTTCTGAAATGACCATATCATTTTGGTAGATTGAGTTAGATGAGTTTGAGGGTATTTCTATGTTAGCAACAACACTGGCATGGGATGACTGTTTGCTATGTACATTTGAGGAGGCTGTTCAGACTTACGAGTTTGCTCTCTACCAGGTATTTTGATGCCTTTTCTTCTTTGTTTCAAATATTGGGTGAAGACTGTGGAAATTTGACTGCTTTACTTGTCCTGATCTAAATTATCGTAATAAAGAGGTCGTTAGTTTTGGAAACACTTTATTAACTTGTAAAGTTGTCTTATGATCAACTGGCTTGGACAGTCCTTTTTTTTTGGTGTTTTTGTGTCCAATGTCCAAATGACGGCTAAAGTTTGTATTCAGAGTAAGTCATTGACTTATTCCCACAGGTTGATTGTTGTAACCATTAAAGGCAATACCAATGCCAGCCAGTGGAGGTTTAGATCTTATTTTTAGTTGTGGTATGAACTTTCTATAAAATGCTTGTTGATACTGAAGTTTGTACTGGATTAGTACAATCCTTTTTTTGTGGGAACACAATTCTGTCAATGCTATATATCTACTTAAGATCTGAGCTGTGACATTTTCATGTTGCTTGTGTCTTGTATTCTTTGATGAAAATTTTTAAAGTACTCCAAAAGCTTAGGATGATATAGTAAGCTGTCACTGGACCTACCTGCCTTGATAACTTGTAAATATCCTATGTTATAAACCTTTGATAGAGAGTTGTACTGTGAATTATTCAAGCTGTCAGCTTTACCATCTTTTTATAACCTTAAAAATGTTTCTTTCAGGCCAGACAACAATTTTGGCCCATCACTGAGGAATACTGCAACAAGCGCATCAGCCCTGCTCTTAGAAAGTTCAGCGTGGTGGAGGATAAAAACGCCCAAATGGTAAAAATGCTGGCTGCTAAACTAGCCTCATGAAGGAAATTAGATAATGTGCCTTCATATTCTTTTTACATGTCCTTTCCCCCATTATTTTTTCTTGAAAATTACATACTGGATCCGCGTTGACCAGTACCCAATTTTGAATCAGTCACATTAAGTTGGTGAATATGCCTCAACATGTGTTGTTTGTTGGTGACAGTTTTCGTCCATTACTGTGTTGCTCTCATTTGGTTCCCCATTTTCAGACTTGATATATTTACACAACGATGAAGACACCCTGAATTTGAAACATGTGGATTTTTGGGCAAGATAATCAACTAATGTTTGTGTATGCTGCCTCAATATTGTACTGTTGACAACATGATTTTGTAGGTGCGCATGAGTGCTCTCTTGCTGGGCAGAAGGAATCTTGCTGCTGACGCTGTGGAAATGGTATCCCCTTTATCCTGGTAATTTTCCTTCCAACAAATTTTGTAACTCCTAATTTTTCTTGGTTGTAAGGTCCTTATTGTCTCGGATTAAGATAGATCATATTCTTAGATATTGAAGTATATGATTGAGGAGATGGTAACTGAATGCTGCCTGCTTTAATGCCCACTTCTTTGCAGAAAGATGCTTCATGTTCTCATCTGTTCTCTGTCAGGCTTTCTCCTAATTTAGCTATTGCCAATAGCATGGTACGTATGTAGTGCACAAGAAAATTAATGAATGTGTATTTTTACATATTTGCTTAATATCACAATTATATTTTGAAATTGAATCATATGGCTATCTAATGGATGAGGCGTAAATGTTGTGCATTATCTTCATATACCTTCTGTTGATACAGCGGATGGAGTCTTTCCATATAAAAAGAAATCCTAATCAGAATTCCTGGTAGTAGGGCGATAATTGATGGGTGAAATCTTGAAAATTCCTTTATATGCCTCATACTTTAATGTATCTTTTGTGATTTTGTACATTTTTATACCGTGATTTCAAAAACTCACTATAAATGGTGTAAGCTGGACATTTTCACTTCTTGTTAGATCTAATGAATTTCCCATTTAATATCGAAGCTGTTTCTCAAGTCTTCAATATTGATTCTTGGCCACTAGAAATGTTAATGTCACAGAGTATGCTTCTTGTAATAATATATGATATATGTGTTGTGTGTGTATGTGTATATGTAGACAAACATTATCTTGGAAGTATGGAAACTGTCAAAGATGATGTGGGCAAACCCAAAACTCACAGAATTGCAGAGGACTTTTGCACAAAAAGAATATTATATATGACTGCACATAGAAGTGAGAAATCCATAGATTAATTCATTTAGACAGTGGCAAAAGACCAATTTTATTTCATCTGTTCATAGAATATACTTCATGTTTATGCAGTAAAGATCATAGCGGTGTAAGAGTCACAAATAAACATTCTAGATAATAACTGGTAGGATAAGATGTGCGTCTATAGGGTGTTAGGTGCTTGGTAGACTGGAATTACCTTTGAATCATCCAATTCCTGTCATTATGTGCCCAATTAGTCTGATAGTTTATTCTGGAGCTGGTTGATATTTCTACTGATGCTAGTTTTATAACCTTGCTTGATCTAGAACCCATCTTCCATGTTTAACACTACAGAACACATATTTTTCACTTTTCCAACTAAAATTACATTTTTCAGCCAGATTGGAAATATGAATTTGTTGGAACATATTTATTCAATAATATAGCAAATTAGGGCTTTGAACTCTTATGTCATGGTAAAAATTGTTTTCTTATTTAAGAGTATAATAGTAAATTAAAGGTGTTTATTTGTGCCTTTCCTTTGCTTTTTCTTCTAATACCAAACAATGGAAAGTTTATCCTTCCAACTTTTCATCCCTCATAGCAAACAAAAAAGACAAAAAAAGGGTTTCCTTCCTTCATGAATGGAAAGTTCATCCTTTCTATTTTTTTATTCCTCCTATTTTCCATCATTCCAATCAAACATACCATAATAATCATTATTCACAAGCAATAGGAAATTGCTGATGACTCAAAGTGAAGAAACGTGATTTATTGGTTTCTTTGATTATTATACTACCCAAGTTTCTTGTAAATCAAAGCTTATTGTCAACAAATTGAACTTGGTTTGTTATCATTTTGTTAACCAACCAGAACCAAGCTGAGCTTGAGGTTGATATATTGGTTCAATTGCAGAAAGTTATCTTGGATAGTGCTCAGGCTTGGTCCAGTTAGGCTTATTAAAGTTAATTTAGATGCTTATGAATAAATGGTCAACAACACTACTCATCGAAAGACTAACCAAAAGGAAATAGGTCTAGATGGTTTGACCATTTGCAGTGAAGATTGACAAGTGCATGACAGGATTGAGATCATCCATGTCGAAGTTACTGGAAGGATGTGGATTGAGATAGTGAGAAAAGGCTTATTTGGATGTAGCTTAATAGACATTCTAGGTTTAGCTAGTGTGAAATGGAAATATAGGTTACTTGTAGCCTGCTAGATGGGGTGGAGTTTTGCTTTGTCTTCGCTAGTGCTGTTTTTTTATTAGTGCTTCATTGTCGTTACATTTGTAACTTCTTATTCTGACTAAGAGTCCTGTTCTTGAGCAGTTTTAGTTAGGCACTACTTGGGCAAGTGCCACAGGGGAAGTGCCTCAGCAACCAGCCACTCACACTCATAATGGGGCGCGTGTGTACACACTCACACACACAAAAGTAACACACGAAGTACTGGGAAAACACTCCCCAACTTTATATTTTTGATCACACATACAAAACAAGGAACTCACAAGACTGACCAAGCACACCTACAACAGATTGGGTTGACATTCCCTATTTATACAAGGAATATGACAGTTAATACCCCCGGCCCCAACAAGCTATTATTAGCCCACTAATCAGTCAGTTGCATGGGCATGGCAATTTCCAGCAACAAGTCCCATGCCAGGTTCCATTTCTGCTTTACTGATGGCTGGCAATTCAACACCTGACTTGGTAATCGCCCACAATTGTTCGCTCATGATTAGGTCATGCCCAATAATTGCCCTCAACTTCTTCCCATGATCAGGTCATGCACAACAACCGCTCTCAGTTGCTTGGTTCCATGCATTGAGCAGACCTATCCTGCCATGTGCCTGCAAATCCACAGCCAAGCCTTGCCTACGAACCAATTAAGCATGTTGAACCAAGTCCGCGCCATGCACCAACATTGTCTCAATTGTGCCCACTATGTGCTGACATCCTCAGCCTCATGGTCTTTCATAGCTATCAGTCCTACAACTTTTCCGGTCCTGCCATTATCTTACGTCTCCCTTGTCCACCTTGTCTCATCTGTGGCAAGGACCTTACTACATGTCGTGTCCAGCGATGCCAGGGCTTGCCAGACCCTTGGTGTCCCTCAACTATCACCACCCCCTATATATGCTCTTAAAAGGTTTTCAAAAGGGACGTGAACGGATATCAACTAAACTGAGCAAGCATAATGACCTGAGCCTCGGGCATAGTGCCTGAAGTTTTTGTCGAACTCCTTAGCTACTTCACCTTGTCTCAAAGTCATAGAGTGCCTTGGTGCAATGTACCACCAAGACACGTATATTTCTGCCCAAGTCAATTAGGGTCTTTTAACAAGCTATAGTAAACACTTTAACAAGCTTCAAATGAGCCAAATAGCTAGACCAGTAGAACAACTTTTGGACTCTGGCTTTCGTTCTATTACAATCCATGCTTGAACATGTTTTTACCCTTCTCTTTGGATTAACCAACATTTACTGAATTTTGTAAGGAGTAAAGTGGAATTTGACCCAGCTTCTGCAAGGGCAAGGTTTTTCTTAGAAACGCAGGCTGTACCATCAACAAATGTCATACTTTGCATAATTTAGCAGAAATATTTTTGAAAACAACAGTGCTGCATGTCATACATTGTTGGGAAGATTGTTTGGAAGTTATGTCAAGAATGTCTGAAGACTTGAGTCAAGGTGAGGATGTTGAGATGAATCAGTAGAGGACTTCGCCAAGCATGACAACTGTTAAGATTAGTTCACAAATGGATTAATTGGAACATAATCCATGTGGATGCGAGTACACAAATGATAGTTGAATGGATATGTTATTTTTCTGTTATTTTCAAATTTTTGGGTCTTTGGTGGAGTAGTTTTGAAAAATGATATATAAGGCTGTGTAAGACGATTTCCATCCAGAACATGCTGCCTACCATCCTTCAAAAGGCTTTGAAAGATATTCTATCCAATTTAGTCAGACATAACTGGAAACAAATTCATGTAGGGAAAATTGTGGATAGGTACACTATATACTACTTATTTGTGGAAAAGTACCATACAAATTCTCTTTTGTGTATAAGTCTTTTTTTTTTTAGGAATGTGTTGTGAGTAGATACACATTTGTTGTTTTCTAAATATTTTATTTACATAATTGTCCTTTTTCATTAATCATGGACGATTTTTTAGACACTGAATTGTGAGATTCAATTTTCTATTTTTTTGGGACAACGCGTTTGAATTTTGAACTATATTTTCTTGTAGTTATCCCACAATATCACTTGGGATTCAGTTTCCTATTTTTTTTGTGGACTTCACATATCATTTTATGATATAATTAGACATTATCACTATTGCTGGTTGACATTATAACTGTGCAGTATGATATTATAACTATTGCAGTGTGACATTATAACTATTGTGACATTATCACTATTGCAGGGTGATATTAGCACTAGCAATAGTAATAATATCACACTGTTTTTACATAATTTTTCTGCCATTTTTAGCAATTGATTAGTTATCGACATGATGAAAAATATATGTTAAAAAAGATAGGTGGCTGTGTGTGTTCTTTATTGTGAAATCCTTCAATTTCTTCGTAGTAAGAAGAAATCCTCATTTTTTTCATAGTGAAACCCTCGTTTTCTTCCCGGTGAGTCCAACGATGTGTCACAGGGAAAGCCTTAAAAATAATGGATTTCTTTGACACCCTTCTTTGTAATGTGGTAGTAATGAGAGAATGGAGTTTGGGGTAGATAATGTGAACACCATTTGAATTTCAAAATTGTATCCTCAAATCATGCAAACTCCAGCACCAATAGTGGAGAAGACAGAGTATTTGTTGTCTCTTGGCTATCTTTTTGCTGGTTTCCTTAGTTAGGGAAGGAAATTCCTCAACTTTTAAAAAGGTTATTTTGAACTTTAGTTATAGCGGGTGGACTTCTTTACAAATATTTTTAAAAGGTGTACTTTTTTCCTAATAAGTCTCATATTGTGTACCGCCCCCAGTTTTCCCATTCATGTAATTCTATCATAATTATTAGGGGTGTCAAACGTGTCGGGTTAAACAGGTGATGGGTGAATAATATGTAAACCCGTACATGACACGTTTAGTAAACGGGTAAAAAATCGAAACATGAACACGAACCATTTAATAAACGGGTAACACGACACGACTCGTTTAACACATCTAATTTTAAACAAATCGGGTTGGGTCGGGTTAACACGCTAAACCACTCGTTTGATCCATTTACCTATTTACCACCTATTTGACCCATTTAACATGGTAAACCACTCGTTTGACCCATTTACCTGTTTATTTAAAAATGCTATATAACTTTATAAAACTAACAAACTAACACAAATAAATGTGGCATTTAGAGAGATACTACACCGTATTACAAAATACAAACTACAATCCAAAATAACCAAATTTTACCGACAACCATATTACAAATCATAAATACAATCCAAAATAACACAATGACACCAAATAAAAATCATATTACAAATCACAATTTCAAACAACCACAAATTCCATGATTCACAAAGTCCTGTGAAAGAGATCAAATCTCCACCTCCACGACAACGAGCAGATTCAACAACCAAATTCTCATGCCCTACACAAATTAAAATGAAATATTATATACCATTAATAATTAAATAGACTCATAACTAGACAAACAATATAAATAGATAAGAAAAAATAAACAGTATAAACTGATACAATAAATTTGTGCAGCTACTAAATGTTTTGAATTTTACTTATATAAACAGATGGACTTAAGTGAATTAGAAGGAGGAAATTTCAGATATGGAGTTCCCCCTGATAATCTGAGCTACAAAATCTGCATCAATTCATATGGAGTCAGATCAGAGGCACATATAAAGCGGTTATAACAATAGTTCAATAATGAAAAACAAAAATCCTGAAGAGACTAATCAAGTTTAATCTTGTTTTATGTCAAAGATGCTAGAAAATCATAAGGACACATTAATCTTTGAAGAATCGTAGTCGTAAATATTACATCATGACCCTCCAAGAACAAAGTATGCTTCCATCATGTTCGCTCCTCTGCTTGTAACTTTATTCATCATGCTCAATTCCCATGCTTAGGTAAGCAGATCTTTATTAGTGTCTTGTAGACTAGAAATCGAACTACTCTTGATCGATCAAATTTTCACATCATCAAATCTATTGTTTGGGTGAGATAAGTGCCTTTGTGATAAGGCTGCTCGTTGGCATTGATTGTTATAATTATCAAGCAGTTAGCTGTTGAAATTACAAATTAAAGAATCAACAGTACACTAACCGGGGCTAACAACAATTTAATAGAATGTAGATTGTATTTTGACACAGACTTCTCAGTTCTCTCCTATGATCACACACACAACAAAAAAACGTGGAGGATGAAGCACCCCAATACAAATACAGATTTAATACGAGTACCAAACAATATCATTTTTGGGTATAAATACAGATCTAAAATCAATACAGATCTAAAACGCCATCATTGTTGGGTATAAATACAAATCTAGTACAGATCTAAAATACAGAGGCAATACCGATCTAATATCTGAAATGTCTAAAGATTTATCGTGGTCAGCGATTCAACTTTCAGCCGCTCGGTTCAGCGTAGATGGAGAGAGGAGCAACACCAAAGGTCGGAGGGAGAGAGAGAGAAAGAAAGAGAGAAACAGTGGAGGGGCCTGGAGGAGGCGCAACACCAAAGGTCCAAAGATTCAGCTGTTCAGTGTAGATGAAATTAGATTAGGATTTGGGAAAAATAACTTTATATATTTTCTATGTATTGTCATTAAAAAAAAAATTGGATAATTTTTTTAAAATAATTATTAATTTATTATTATATTAATTTTATTTAAACGGGTTGACATGTCTCACATGTCTCACCTGAATACGACCTGTTTATTAAACGTGTTAAACTAGTCAACCTGTTTATCACCCGAACCTGTTAAGGTCTCTCCCAAACCCGCTTAATCCGTGTTGATTCGTGTCGGTTAATCGTGTTGTGTTGAATTTTGACAGGCCTAGTAATTATTTTGTCAAGTTGTGATCCATTTATTTAAATTTGTCCAGTTTTTTTTCATCCATGCAATTGAGTATTTTGTGGTTGCAACACAAAATTATTTCGTTTTTATGATTGCTATCTTTTCTTTCCTCTAGAATTGTTGCTTTGCTTTGAGAATGCTGCATTATAACATGGTGTATCTGTTTTTGTTTTATTCTTTAACCTAATATATATGCTAACATTTTAGAACTAAACGAAACTTAAGATATTCAGAATGTTTTTCTGTTTTCCAGTATCGGCTTGCTTTTTTCAGTGGAATAAGTTACTCTTTGCAAGATTGTGCCAATATTAATACCTTGTGGGCATCACTTATAGTTGAAGAATGCTCTCGACTTGGTTTGACGGTGAGACAAAGTGTTGATAATATATTTTGTCTCTGCTGGCATACATGTTTCTGATTACGTTTCATCTAGTATTTTTGTGTAGCTCCAGGATCACGGTCATCTCCCCTTGCCATTGCTGCTTCTACTCATCCCCTTACGACTTGTATAGCATGCTTCGATGAGCGTTCACTCGCATTTCATGCTGTTGGTTATGGCAGAGGTTCTCGTAAACCTGCAGTAGTCATAACATCATCAGGCACCGCAGTTTCAAATCTTCTACCTGCGGTGAGATTTATATAAGTTTCATGATTATTCAATGTTTTTGTATATTAGCTGCTGATGGACATTCTGTTACATGTGAATCTTTTCATCAATTTTCCAATTCTGTATTGTCATCATGTTTGTCTTTCTCTTGCACTTAAACCTACGTAGCCTTCAGGTAGATCTTATCCTTCTTTTTTATTTTTAAAACTGATCTAATTGTCAGCCTCTGTGGTGACTGTGTCTCATGATAGTGAATTTTACTGTGCTTTCCTAGGAGTGATAATGTAAGTTCTTTCTTTTGTCCTGTTTGAAGTGAATTGCTCAGTTTTCTCAAGTTATTTTGATCTTAATTTTGATATATGTTTCTTAGTTTTTATCTTTACTCCAACATTTGTCGAATGATAATGTACAGGTTGTGGAGGCTAGTCAAGATTTTGTACCTCTTCTATTACTCACTGCAGATCGCCCTCCAGAGCTGCAAGATTCTGGAGCAAACCAAGCCATTAATCAGGTGCTTTGGTTTTTTCTTATCCTGTTGCACTACTGACCAAACACTTCATTGTGCTATGCTACTTGTAGGATGATGTGTACTTTATGGTAATTGTTGTTTCAGATCATGTTTTATCACTTCTAGAGGTACTGAACATCTTTATCTTTACTTTTCAAGTGTGCTAAATAAAGGATCTTTCGGGGAAGGGTCTGGCAGTTAATGGGTGCCAATAAAAAATGGATTCGTTAAATTTTCGATGTTGTTAAATCTGTTGAGCATTTCCTGCTGTTGTAACAAAGTTAAACAATTTGTACATCAGAAACCCCTTTATATTAGCAATTTTTTTTTTGATGTGAATGGTCACAACAACTTCTCTTTTCCAGGAAAAAAAACTTTTCTTTTCTTTTATTTTTTGCAAGGTCTTTTTTTCTTTATGATTGAACATATTCTTGGATTTTTAATGTTTATCAGCCTCTTTGACGCCCTAGGTTTATCATGCTAATGGTTTTAAGATGCTCTAATAACCTTTGCTGGTTCATTTATAACATCCAAGAATGCTTTGCCTAATTTGTTAGCAAATTCAGGGTTTAAAACTATCTTGGTGGTCTAGTTTCCAACTTTAGGATTTGGATTTATGCTTTCAAGGTTTAGTCCAGACTCCAGAATTAGAATTCTCTCTCCCTTGATTTGAAGTTTGGATGATGGGTAAGGAAGACATCCTCTTATAATGAGTGAGAGTTTCAATTTTTTTTTTTTTTGGGAATTTTGAAGTAACAACTTTCTAGTGTTAGAAATTATTAGAGATATAATAAGATCAAAAGAAATCCATCAATATCTAGGTAGAGATATGATAGCATCTAAAGAGACCATCGATATTCTGGTAGTTTTGATAGATATTAAAGATGATAGACATGTGCGATAGTTTTTAACCTATAAATAGGGTTAAGCATTATGTAATTAACTACCGCTGAATAAACATTGATGTAGCTCTTTGGGGCATTTGGCATGTGGATGTAGGCACATGTGCCGAACCACGTATATCTTTGTGTCATGCTTTCTTTTGTTTTATTATTCCCAATCTTTCTCAAATTATGAAATTCTTCATGATATCAGAGTGGGTCGATCCATCCCTGTTTTGTTTAGCCACCGAATTCCGCTACACAATTCCGTTTGGTGACCAACAAATCAAAACATCATTAGTGCTTCATTTCTTTGTTTGTCACTTTCTCACTAATCTCTTTGTCACTTACTCCAACTCCAGGACTTTTTCCCTTCACAAAGTGCTAGCCATTCCCCATCAAAAGCTCTAAATGAGAAGGCATACACTTTTGACAAGTAAATCCATTGTTTGGCCTCTAAGCATTGGTTGCTCCTTCGGTCTACATTGATGAAAAGTCAATATGTGAAAAGCTTGCAAGAGAGAAGTACCATCTTTTTATAAATCGGCTACAACACTTGCCATACTATCTTGTAATGGCGTTGTGAAATCTAAATATTGTCAGCGCAAAGGCAACCTCAGATTGCGTAGAGGAACATAGTGAGGAACAATCGAGATGAGAGAGTCTGGAAAGAGGAGCAAAACAAAAGCAAAGAGAAAAACAAAAAGCAGATAAAAAAAGCAAAAAAAAAGGTTCATAAGAAGCAGAATTTTTATCTTTAAGGGGGAGTTTGAGGAGGAGTTTTATTACCAAAGCTACATCATTCGATTGCCAAGCAATCATTCCTTGTTTCAATTCAAGTTGGACACTTCAACTGCTCTCTTCAGTGTACCAACTTGAAGAAGAGTATTAAAGATATGATAGGATCAAAAGAAATCTATCAACATCTTGGGGGAGATACGATAAGAACTAAGAGACCATCGATATCCAAGTTGTCATGATAAATACAAATGATGATAGACCTATGCGATACGTATCCTTATCATATAATTCTCACCCAATAAATAGGGTTGAGCCCCGTGTAATCAACTTCCACTGAATAAACATTGATGTAGTTCTTTGGGGCATTTGGTCCGTGGGTGTAGGCACATGTGCCGAACCATGTATATCTTTATGTCTTGTTTTCCTTTACTTTATTATTCCCAATCTTTGTCATATTATGAAATTCTTCAGAAATTTTGGTATATATAAAAAAACCTTTCTCTTCTTTAATTTTTTTTCTGTGTCGCTCAAAATGTCCTTTTCAGCAAGGTGAAAATTAAGTTAAAGGATGTTGCTATATGTGCTACAAGACGTAAAATAGCAGATTGACTAGCAATCTGTGACAGGATGAGCTTCATCCATGTTACACAGGACTAGCAATCATGCATTGGTATTGTCGTATGGCCATACTTGTGCATCTACATAATTACTTCGTGTCACTCTTGATTGAGCAACATGTTATGAATAATAATATAGGATATTTCGCTGTTAATTTCTATTTTTCCCCTGTGAAGCATGTCTTTGAATTTTGTACATCAGGTAAACCATTTTGGTATATTTGTGAGGCATTTCTGCAGTCTTCCTGCAGCCACGGATACTATTCCTGCTAGGATGGTACTTACAACACTTGATTCTGCTGTTTATATGGCAACCGCTTCACCATGTGGTCCTGTTCATATCAACTGCCCTTTTAGGGAACCGCTTGAAAATAGTTCCAGAAAGTGGATGTTGAGCTGTTTACAAGGGTTAGATTTTTGGATGTCAAGTGCTGAACCATTTACAAGCTATATCCAACTGCAACATTCTTTTGCACGCAATGATGCTCAAGGCCATATGGCACAAGTTTTAACAATGATACACGGTGCAAATCGAGGGCTGCTATTGATTGGGGCATTACATACAGAGGATGACATATGGGCAGCTCTTCTCTTGGCTAAACAACTTTTGTGGCCAGTTATAGCTGACGTCTTGTCAGGTTTAAGGTTGAGAAAGTATCTTACTTCTTTCTCTGGATTTGAAGAGAATATTTTATTCGTTGATCATCTTGATCATTTACTTCTCTCAAATTCAGTCAAGGACTGGGTGCAACCTGATGTTATCGTCCAGGTATATTTTTGTTTCATCTCTTTAATTTCATCCAATCTGCTTTTACTTCAAAGAATCTTTTGGGATCCCTTTGAAACTCGGAAGCCTTGAACAACAGCAGAAAGAAAGCAATGTGGAACTTCATTCATTTTGCCTTTTTTGGTTGTGTTGAAAAACTGAGAAGGAAGGAAAATGAGGGGTTGGGAGTGGGTAAAGATTTTCCATAATTTCTAAGAACTTTTTGCCTAAGAAAAATTAAATACTTTGCGAACCTGAGGAAAAAAATTGAGAAAAGGAATTCAAATTTTTTCATGTGGCCTTCTTTCCTTTCGTTTTTTATCACTTTATTTTTCCATCCCTTTCTTTTCCCTTAATGTTTGTGAGAACAAAATATAAAGATTATTATTACTATGTTGAATATAACAAATGGTGTCGAATAGCAGGTTATTGTATGTTTCTCTTTTATTCAGCTTCCTAATGCCTGCAGTATAATGAAAGTGAGCACTAAGCTGCTTGTATTTTCTGTACACCTGGTAGCTATATGCAAGTTGCAGCACAAGTAACCAGATTTGGAATAGTTGTTGCCCAGTGGTAGGTTATTGTATGTTTTCTAGTTGATGGTGAACTAATTGTTTAAAATATATTGACTTCAATTGGGGAATGAAAGAAGAAATGATAATGAAGATTCAAGTGGGAAACAACCCCAGAGCACATGGAAACATGAGCACAAGCAATTTAAAATTAGCCTGAAGACTTATAAGTGATTTCAATGAGAAACTGATGTAGAACAGGTGGCAATAGAGTACTTGGAGCGAGAAGACCATTGCGTGTCCAAAGCGCAACAGAAGGCCAAAAAAGTTATAATAAAGGCAAAATGGATTGGACTCGGAATTAAGTGGGACTAGTGCCACTTGATCCGGATCGGGCCAACGATTAAAACTCATCGCTTCGCCGTGAGCTCCATAGTTTGGTCCAAATTCCATTGTTTAGGCCCTCAAAACGATGGGACTATTAGGATTTTGGCCGTTTCTATATATATTACCCTATGTAACTTATTCAGTCAATAATACAATATTTTGAAAATTTTTCTTCCTTTTCTATGTGAATGTAGAATTTTTCTCTACACTTAGAAACAATGATTTTTTTTTGTCCTTTGTTATCCGCTTTGTCAAAAACTTTTTGCAGTAGCTCCACCCAAATGGTATTGCCATTATATGGAAATGGAATCATCTATGAAGTACGGATACTACAAAAGGGTCAAAGTGTCGGCATTAGATACTTTCCAGATAAGGATACGCGTTCGATACAGCTGGATACGTATCCGATATGGTTGGGAAGTATCCTAGAATTTAAAAAAATAAATTTGAATTTCGAATACTTCACGATATGCCGGGTATACGTTTGGTATATGACAGGGTATTACTTGAATTTTTTTTAAAAAATAGGGACGCCAAAGCAAATATGTTTGAGCCCTTATTTGTTATAAAAAAAAAAAAAAAGAGAAAAATTTGTGAATGTATGATTTCTGAATGATAGAATGGTTAGTTATTATTATATATCTTTGATAGATATGTGATTCACTTTATAAATCATAATTATTATATTAATACATTTTTAAAAAAAAAAAATATATTGTATGGATGTATCCTAGTTTTACCCATATCTTGTTTTTTTAGATTTTACCGTATTGTCGTATCCGTATCTCGTGTCCGTATTAATATTACATATCCATATCCATATCCGTATCCGTATTTATATCCGTATCCGCGCTTCATAGGGAAGCATAGATTAATGTGTTGCATATGTTAGATTTTTGTGGTAGAAGATGTTTCCTACATGTGAGATTCAAATGGGAATGTTCTAAGTTGGGTAAAAATTTAAGAATTCAAAAATGCAGTGATGAACTATGACGCATTACTTCTTGTAATGGACATTCGTATTTGTATGTTAAAACACTGCCTTTACATTGGCATTTTACTTTTTAAATTATATGAATTAACTGTCATTTTTTAGATTCTAAATAACAGATTGGAAGTCGGATAACAAGCAAGCGTATTTCTCAGATGCTAGAAGATTGCTTTCCATGCTCATATATAATGGTTGACAAGCATCCAAGTCGTCACGATCCTTCACACATCATTACACACAGGATTCAGAGTACTATTGCTCAATTTACTGATTGTTTGCTTAAAGCTTCTGCACCACCTACCAGCAGCAAATGGAGTGGTTTTCTAAGGTCATTGAATATGATGGTATTCGTTCTCTAGCTTTGATATTTCTGTGTGGTTAAGAGTGACTTGATTATCATATACCTTCACCCCTCTGCAGTCATTTGACATAATTCAACAGTAAATGAGTTTTAGTTTTCTGTAAGATGTTGCTGACATTTTCTATTAGAAGCTTGGAGATAATTGATACTAGTTCAAGTGGTATTCAAATCCCAACTTTGTAGGGATATGTTATGGAAGAGTTAATTCTAGAATACAACTTTGTTGGTTCCACTATTAGCAGATGCAGAAGTTCGAATCAAACTTCTACACATTTCCTTAATTTTATGTTGCTTTTATGACATCTCTGTTAGTAGATAAGTTGGGGCCACTTCGTCACTTCCCTCATATAAGCTAAAGCATACATCATTTTTATTAACAAGTCCTGCATGCCATTGCCACTTACCACACAAACTATGTGGCAGCTATTATTGACGAAACACCTGTACATGTCATGCAAAACTTGCCACCTTATTATTTGAATGACTAGATACTATTTAACAAATATTACGAGGGCTAGAGGTACTAGCTAAGCTATTTCTAATATGCTATTTCTTTATTGTGAAGAGAGCTTGTATCCCACATCGCAAAATTTAGTGCACCCAAGGTTGGTTTATATATTTGAGAGGTTACTTCTCTCATAATCAATTGGATTTGGGTTATACGCTCTAGCATGATATCAGAGTTGGGCCTTGGGTTGTTAGTAGGCCAAGTCTCTTACCTACTTGAATTCTTTGATATGTTTATCAGTTTGTTTTAGCTTAGTTCCAGTATGTTTATTGTTGGTTTCAGTTCAATTTATTAGCCCATGTGTGAAGAGAGCTTGTATTCCTTGTCTAAAAATTAAGTGCGCCTAAAGTTGGGTTATATACTTGAGGGGCTATTCCACGCATAGCCAATTGATTTGGTTGGATGCTTTAACTTACACTTATTAAGGTGGACTTTGGAATTATCCTTCTTAGAATGTATTGCCCCGTCACACATTCATGAATCATGGCAATGACATGGCCAAAAGACAAGAGAAGTGATTATAGACTTGGTTTACTTCACTATTGATTGTTTGAAAAGGCAGTGGGCAAAATATGGTGATGGATAAGTGAGTCCACATCAAAAGATGCTGAAATATGCTGAACAACACTGTGAGAAATATTCCAATGCATAAGTGTGTCCATATCAAAAGATGCTGAGAGATACTGAGCGACATTGGTGACATGAATCTTGCTTGTTTATTAGAGAACTAGTTGTCTAACACAACAATTAAGCTTTTCAAAAACATTCGTTGTTCTAATCTATCAGCTGGAGCATTAGAATGGCTTCTTGCCTAGTCGTGCTTTTAATAGCACTGGTACTACATAGTGATGAATGTAGGCTAACCAAACTAATATAAGTTAAAAAATGCATTTTTTTGTTACTGTTCTTAACCTATGCAGAGTAAGCTTATTCAGGGAAGATTTGAAGAATGATGGTTAAGATATGAAACCCATATAAAGAATCAAGTCAAGCCTCTAAAATGTTGCAAGATTCTAATGAAATGCAGCCAAAGCCTTGGTGAGTTTTGTAATTCCTTTGGGGAAATGCTAATGATGAAATTGCTGTGCCCATATGAATAGATCCATGAGTGGAGATTGGAAACGGATCATACACAGCTATCAATCAAAAACCTTAGTTTGAAATAACCCAAGATGGTCTCTGGTTCCATTTTTTGTGTAGAGGATGAGAGCAATTTATAGATTGATAGTAAAGGAAAAGCCTAGTCATATATAGGATAGTTACATAAGTGTAATATACTAAGTTGAATAGTTATAAAGCTATATCGTGCTTATAATGTATCTTGCAATTCCTTACTTGGTTGGTCTTCACAAGATTGATAAGTCTATGTTTGTGCCAAGGATCAAAATTTTGTTTCGGTACATTGTTTCAGTCACCTAGAAAACAAAAATGTTTCGATCCGTTTCGGAAACATAGGGAATAAAATAAAAAAATTAATAATTATTTTTTCTAAAATATTTGTCGAAATATACCAAAATAATTTGAAACATTTTGAAACAATTGTGCAAATGCATTGAAACATTACAAAATACCTCGAGACATTATGAAACACCTCAAAGTATTAGAACTTTGATTCCATTCGTTTTGGTCTCTTTAGAAACAGAAATGTTTCAGATGTTTCAAAACGAAATGTTGATCATTGGTTTGTGCATTTGGTTGTGCGTAGTGATTTGATAGTGGATGTGGCATAACATTTGTGGTTTCAATCCATTATTGAGTTATATGACTTTGTTCAATCCTCCAAACAGTGCAATAGTTATACTTGTCTCAGCTTTGAGCAAGTGATTCCAGTTGATTTTGATGGTTGTTAAGTGAAATAAGAATGTGAAGTGTTTCTTTCTCTTTATTTTTTTCAACATAATATCATCATTAACTTCTAGTTAATAAACACAGAAGCTTGATTCCTTGAAACTAGGCAGAGAAGTGTGTTATCCATTTGGTGGCCTACATGTTGCTCGAGATTTGTGGAGCCTTTTTTCTTTGTTCAAGCTTGCTTGTGTGATGTTGATGTATGAAAAATTCAGTTAAGGGAACATTAGTGGCTAAGATAGGCCTAGGAGCTGTGGAATTCATTGGATTTCTTGTGGTGCATATGGAAAGAAGCGAATAGGCAGCATGTTAAAGTAGAAGAACTCCATAAGTCCAAACCCCTAAATTGAGTGGAGTGATAATTAGGGGTGATAATCAAGCCAAGCTCGACGAGCATCACCATGTTCAGGCTCGGCTTGACATTTTCGGGAGCTCGATCATTGAGCTCGAGCGGTTTGACAAAAAAAAAAAAAAAGTTCAAGCTTGGCTTGATTAGGCTTGTTTCCGTTAACAAGCTCAAATCCGAGCTCTAGCTCGTATAAAGCTTGATCCAAAAATTCGAATTCAGGCTTGCGTACGGGCTTGAATTTTAACAAATTTAACACCAGAAAAATGCACATCCACTGAACAGATTGTGGGTTGTACCTGGACATCACCAAAATTTTACAATATCTGGACATCAAACTTGAGTAGAAAAATGAAGCAACATCCAGCAAGCAGCAGCAACAAACATCACCGAAAAACAGCCATCAAGCAGCAAAACATCACCAGACGCAGCCACAAAACAGAGTAACTTGGGTTGAGAAATGGACGAGAGAGATTGTGGGTTGTATCTGTCCACCTGATCTTGGGTTGAGACGAAGAATCACCGGAGAATGGAGTTGAGGGCCTTGAGGCTTCACCGGAGAATGGAGTTTGGTAGACGAGAGATGGAGTTGAGGGCCTTGAGGCTTCATTGCTTCGGGCTTTGGAGAACGGCGCCTTCAGATTTGGGTTTGGGGTGTATTAGGGTTAGACAGGTTAATATAGATCATGTCCTCACCGTTGGATTTCAGTAGGGATTTAGAATGGACGGCTATAATTGGACCACTAAAAATTAATAGTAAAACTAGGTAAAAGATATCAAACTTAATCAAGCCTGTCAAGCAGCTCGAATTCAAGTTTCAGCTCGGTTTGTTTATAAACAAGCCTAAAAATGTGTTTATACTTGGCTTATTTACGATATTTGAACGAGCTCGAACAAGCCCAAAACAAGCCGAACTCAAGCCGAACTCGAGTAGCTCAGTTCGATTAATAGCCCTAGTGATAATGCGTGCTTTATAATTGTGGCTTAAGGGGTTCTTTTCCCCCTTTCCCTTTAGTATTAGTAACTGGTTCAACGTACGTTATGAATTTGCAAAATAAAGGTAGTGTATTTTCAAGGGAGATTTGAAGTGGCTAACTGAAGAAAATGCAAAATTGTGTTGATCAGCTAAAAGTATAACTGTATCAAAGGAAGAATACACTTCAAAAATCAGATTGTCTCGTATGAAACCAAGAATCAAAATATCGTTTCAGTATATTGTTTCGGTCACTTAGGAAACGGAAACGTTTCGACGTATTTCATAAACGTTTCAACCCGTTTCGGAGACATAATGAAAAAAATAAAAAATTCAAGAATTAGTTTTTTAAAACATTGATAGAAATATATCAAAATATCTTGAAACATTCCAAAACAATTGTGCAAATGTATTGAAATAATATAATACCTTTAAAAACATTATGGAATACCTCAAAATATCAAAATTTCGATTTTATCATTGTTTCGTTTCGGTCTCCTTGGAAATGGAAACGTTTCGAACGCTTCGACCGTTTCGAAACGATATTTTGATCCTCGTATGAAACCATGATCTTAGAATTCATTGTAAAAAGTAACACACTATTAGAATATGCTCGTATAGAGCTCATGTATTGATTGATGGAACATTAGGAAATATATTCATTGGCATTTTCCTATGCCTCTTTCTCCCTTCATCACATTCCAATCACTTTCTTCAACAGTTCACATTTTTGAAAGGCTCCTTTGCATGGAGGCTATGTTTAATTTCTACCTGGTTTGTTAAATGGATTCCAGTTCACTTAGGGTCTCAATACTGGGTTTCTATTCTGACACTTTTAGTCCTGGAACTAGACTTGATCGGTAGGTCTGCTGTTTGTCACTTCTCTTCCTTTCTCTGCATGCTTTTTAGAATTCTGTTACTCTATTTTGTAGGCTGCGTGGGAGATATCACTTCTGATCCATTCCGAGTACTCCTTGACTGAACCTTATGTTGCACGTGTAATTTTTGAAGCGCTTCAGTGCGAGTCTGCTATTTTTATCGGAAACAGCATGCCAATACGTGATGCTGACATATATGGATGTAACTGGGCAAAATGTACCCATAGTTCTGCTATGAAATCAGGCTCAGGATTAACATGTCACTGGATACAGGTGGCTGGGAATCGGGGAGCAAGTGGTATCGATGGTTTGCTTAGCACAGCTGTTGGTTTTGCTGTTGGATGCAACAAACGAGTGAGTAGCTGAACATATATTTGTTAAAGAAACTTTTTTTATGAGCTTACTTGCTAATCACGATTTTTAAGTGGGTTTACTTATAAATTTTATTTTTAGATCTGTGCTTCTATTAGCTTTTGAACTGTTCCATCAAGTGTGATTATCCAAATGCCTGGTTTCTTTTGTGTTGTTTTTCTTAAAAACTTGTACTGGTGATGAATGAAATATTGGTATGCTAGTTGAGACCATTTTTTATACTGGATGGTAACTGAACTCATTTTCATGCTATGGAGTGTGAGTTTACCTTGTATATTTGTTTCCGTTTACAAGAACTCCGTCGATGCACTGAATGTATTGTTCAATTAATGGACCAGTCTTATTGCTTCCAATCCATGATTCTTCCTATTGTTTGTTTCCTTGAACATTTCACAAAAGATATACTTAATGATTTTATATTTGTTTCCAACCTTTGACATGCGATTATCTTTTTGGCTTTTCTCTATCTGTTATCGGATCTTTTTTTTTTCAATAATCTGTTCAAGTTGATTGCTGCTTACCTTTAGCTTGCTGATGTTTCTTAATATGACTCAAAATGATGAAATTACATGGGGTGACACCTATTTGGTTATGTTCAGGTACTTTGTATGGTTGGAGATGTTTCTTTTTTGCACGATACAAATGGATTGGCATTGCTCAAACAACGGTAACGAGTTCTATTAATATATCTTGATGCTCTTACAGTGCATAATTATGCTTATATTGTACATTGTGATTTGTGAGATATCATCTATGCATACTTGCATGGAGAAGCATTGCCTTGCCAAACAAAATGCAGAACAAAACTATATTATTGCAGATATGATTTCTTGATAACTTTTAGTTTCATAGCCCTCATTATTATTTTGTTTTGCCAAACCCATATCGATAAAACACATATATCATTGTTTGCTATACAAACTTTTATCATCTTTGCATGAAAGGAAATCATTTAACACCAAATGCCATGTCAACTAAACTTTATCAATGACTGTTGAGATATTTCGGGATATGAATGGCCACAACTTAAAAATTTAAATACTAATCATCACAAACTCATGTCAGAATTTTCCGTTAAAGAAGTTTGTCTGGCCTTCTATTGGCCGTTTTTATTGTTTTCTCTTTTTTGCTTTTTGGCATACCAAAATAGGTGGTTGCTCCATTTTCTGTCAGTTTTAATCACATAATATAATTGTTGTAGTATCATATGTGTTAGCGAAAGGCCCATCATCTAACCTCAGTTCTCAATTGTAATACAATGTATTATGTTTGAAGGATACAGCGGAAACCAATGACCATTCTTGTGATAAACAATCATGGTGGTGCAATCTTCAGTCTCCTTCCCATTGCAGATAGAACTGAACGGAGAGTGTTAGATCAATATTTCTACACATCTCATAATATTTCAATCTCCAACCTCTGTATGGCACATGGGTAAGAAAACACATGGTTTGTGAATACATAATAGGTTGTCTATTGTGTTTTCCCTGATTATTGATAATCAAGTGTACTTCCATTTGACTGCTATAATTATATTTTTCTTATGTGTTGTCCATGTTATAATGTAATGCAATCATACTGTTCAAGCATTTGATTGAGAAATGCATGCACTTTCATACAAACTGAAGATTTGCCCATTTGCGGTACAATATGCACATCAGAAGAAAATGGACCAAGCTGAATTGTCAAATCTGAAAAAAAACCAAAATCAATTACCTCAGCTCGAATCAATAGCCATTAGCTGCACGAACACTGATGTTGCCCGGCGGAAAACCTGATGAATGTAGACCAGAAAAAGAGAGTGAAAGAAAGAAAGGAGAGGTGAAGGCAGGGTTGGAGCCAAAATCATTTGTAGCGAGGGCAACCTAAACCATATCAACACCCAAACTCCAGATGTTCGCAAAAGTATAGTTTCACTAAAAGGACACCTATTAAAAGTGTACATGAGCGATATACAAAAAAAGCTAAAAAAAATTCACTATAAAGTTATCAACACAACCTAACAAAAAAATTTTGTACCAAAAGAATAGTGCTCGATAACATATTGAGTCTATACATGGAAAAAATCAAATTCTCGAACATCCTATAGATCCTCATGGTTATTGTCACACCCTAACTCCAAGGGCATGACCGGCCGTGAACCATAGATCCATAACCTATAGAACACGTAAGCCTAACAATAAACTAATAATATAGGAGTGGAAAACAACATTAACACTAAATTGATCTCATGTCAATATGTCAAAGTCAACATACCTAAACCTGTTTGTCCCAATTATCCAAACAAGTAAAGATAGCTAAATGATATATGCTACAGAGGTCACAACACTATTAGTCCCAATCAATTCCCTGAGTCCGCTGTTGACACTCCAATCGTTTACCTAGAAAAAATATTATTTTGAAAACATGAGTTAAAAAGTCCAGTGAATGGAAAGGCATGCATATTCAAAGTGGCTGAAAAACATATTTGGCATACGACATGTAAATCAAATATTTGGAAAAATAATTTCATCAAGATAACTAATTTCTCAAGAATAACACAATCGGGTTTCAACAAGAAATCATACCACAACGGTAAATCATATCATAATGGTGGAGACTGTACGATATCCAATAATCGATGGGAACCAAATACCAAATACAATAACTGACAACAAGAAAATACGTATGGCATACGATAGATAATCATAAACAAAGCCAGTAAAAACGTTGTGACAGTAACAAATTATATCATCATCTCATACTGGTAAGGACTTGTACAATATCTGGGAACTATACCAAATGCCAAAAGATCTCAAGGTTAGATCCAACATCGTACTTAGGGTCACCACGGGTTGCCGCCTAGGAACTGTTCCCTAAGACGATTTGGTGAAGGTCACCAGGACGCACCAAGAACTGTTCTTTCAACCGTTGAGTACTAGGGTCACCTCAGCCTCCCCCAGGTATGTTCCCTAATGGCCAGGGTCACCCGCACACTGAAGAATAATTTTCCTGGACTTTTAGTACAAAATACCAGAATATATCTCTGGGTTGGATCCAACATCGTACTTAGGGTCACCACGGGTTGTCGCCAGGGAATTGTTCCCTAAGACGATCTGGTGCAGGTCACCAGGATGCACCAATAATTGTTCCTTCAACCATTGAGCACTAGAGTCACCTCAGCCTCCCCCGGGTCTGTTCCCTAGTAGTCAGGGTCATCCGCACATAGAGGAATAATTTCCTTGGACTTTGAATCATGGTCCCATTCATTATCACAAAGTCTCACCATATAAACAAATGATTGAGTCACAATACTTCACAAAAGAATTTATCAAAGTAAGAGAATCGTATGCCACAAGTATTTAGACACTTAGGAAAATATTTTGTAAAGGTAGTAATGAACAAGCATGATGTATTGTTTTTAAAATATTTAGGGATACGGAAAATTTTTAAAAATACGTAGCATGCCAAATCATTCACCTCAAATCTAAATGATATGCTTCTTGAGTGTTGCTTGTTACCCGAAGTAGAGTGAGATGATGTCTTTCCTCTTTTTCTCACAATTTCTTTTCTCCTTTGATGAGGTGCTCTTCCTTGCTTCTTCTCTCTTTTACTCTCTATTCTTTCTTGAAAGTGGAAGACTACTTGTGCACTTGTATCTTAATCCAATTCCCAAATGTCCTATTTATAGGCATCTTAGGATTATTCTAGAGAATATTGACATGTGATATTCTTAGGGGAGATTCCCTAGAATATTCTACCATCTTCCCTCTCCTAGATCCTTCTAGGTTTCAAACTTATTTTGCACATGACCATTCCACAAGTATCTAGATTTATTTATAATATTCTAAAGTCTTTTCCAACCTTCTAAGCCCTTTCGGAATATTCTAAATCCCTCTAGAACCTTCTAGTATTTCCTAGAACCTTTTAAAATATTCTAGACTTCTCTAGATTGTTCTAGAACTTTTTGGATTCTTCTAGAAACTTCTTCAACATTCTAGATTCTTCTAGAGTATTCTAGTTTATTCTTGAACTTTCTAAAATCTTCTAGACTATTCTAAATTTTTCTAGGAACTTCTCCAATAGTCTAGATTATTCTAGACTATTCTAAATTCTTCTTTAAAAATTTTTCTTTTTCTTTCTAAGATAATATTCCCCAACTAGTTCCTTGCCAAAATAGAACGGAATATTACAGTTATTCCCAATAATTTTTTATATTTTGGAAGCGTTATGTGATCATTTCATTATCCATGGTATTTGAAACTTCTTTCTCAATATATGCAGTCAAGCAATCATTCATCCATTGATCTCCCATTCAGTTGCATAGTCAACTTTTATCGTTGAAAATGCTCTTTCGATTGTTGCAATTGTAACTAGGAAGATTAATGCTAGTTTCACAAGTAGATAAACCAAATGATATAACTTCTATGCAATGCCACTAATTTCTTTAACTTTTGAAAATTCATTGGAGCACACATCAAGTATGTAAGTCTCCAGTTGATTGTCAAGTATCACAAGTCTATGGTAGAAAATTCAGAAGGGTAAAATTGAGTAAAAAGAATGAACTTCTCTTTACTAAAAACAAATAATGAATCACTTGGATATAGACATGCCAAACAAAGAAGTAGCTTAGAGTTCAACTTTTTGAAACGATTGTGAAGCTTGTGAATTTGCATATCTAACACTGTATAAAATAATCCAACGTAAAAATGACGTAGATTAGTAGCTTGTTGAGTATTACGTTGTGACCTCCCTCAAACTACATATATATCATCCATATTCAAAAGAACAATATCATATTTACCACAAAAAGACGGAACCTCAGTGAATAAAGCTTCCCAACCAGTATCCCTCATCATTTGTAGTTGTTTTTTAAGTACTTTGACTAAGTTCATAGCATTTACAATGCATTGGTCATTTCTTTTTAATGCTTGTGATAACTCATTTGTAATTTCCTGTATGCCTTTAATTGAATGCATATTGAATATGAAATCAAAAGATTGAATTGAATCCAATAAGGCACCAGCTTCATCTCTTCCCTTAGAATTTGTACCATCCTCCGCTACAACCTAAAGCATTTCAATTATGGAAGAGAGCATAATAATCATATTTATGAGAGTACCATAATGAGAGCCTTAACATTTATTACTAGCCTGTTGGAGACTACTTGATGCAACCAATGCCTATTGAAATTTCTCCATTTATTAGCATCTAAATAAGCTTATTAGTTTGTTTCTCTCTTGAAATATCTTGGGGTTTGCATGAAGCTCCAACAACATTCAACAAATTGGCAACAATATTGAAAAACAAAACAATTTGATTGTGGCTTTTGGTGACAACCATAAGTGCTAATTGAAGTTGATGGGCATAACAATGAATATAGAAAAAAAATTTATTCTCCTTCATAATGAGACTTTTGAGGCCATTGGATTCTCCCTTCATATTACTAGTTCCATCACAACCTTGTCCATGCATTCTCGACATACTTAATCCATGCTTGAGAAAAATGACTCAATTGTTGCTTTTAGTGATAGAGCACTTGTATTAACAATGTGGACAATAAAAAGAAAACGCTCGATGACATATCCCTCGATGACATATCCCTTTTTATCCATATAGTGTAATAAAACAACCGTTGCTCCTTGACTGAAACATCACTAGACTCACTAATCAAAATGGAGAACAAATCATTTCCACGATCTTTGATTAGTGCATTTGTTGTTTCACTTAAAATGGCATGTACAATATCTTTTTGAATTTTTGGAGATATCACTTTGAGATTCTTGGGAGCATTTTTCAACACAGCACTGTTTTTGTTTTCATTTTGGCAAGAAAACGTAGAAGTTCAAGAAAGTTGCCTTGATTTTTTGAATTCTCGGATTCATCAGGGCCAAGAAATGCTAAATCCAGACCTAAAAGATATCGAATATAATCAATTGCTGCGTCAAACGAATTCAATGTTCCTTGCAGGCCTGAGTTGATTGCCTAGACTAATCAACTTCAATATGTTGCTTTTGGTTCATTAAATCTCGACACCTCCTCCAAGTTTGATTATAAGAACTATTTGGACTTTCGATATGAATTTGAAATGTTTCTTTCTTCTTCCAATCAAGGATCAAAATTTTGTTTCAGTGCATTGTTTTGGTTACTTAGGAAAGGGAAAGATTTCGACGTGTTTCGGAAACGTTTTGATCCAGAAAATAGAATGAAAAAAAATAAAAAATTTATGAATTACTTTTTCAAAATATTGGTCGAAATATACCAAAATATCTTGAAATACCTTAAAACATTCCGAAATAATTGTACAAATGCATTAAAATATAACAAAATATTTTGAAATATTGTGGAACACCTCTAAGTATTAGAATTTCGATTTCATCACTAATTCGTTTCAGTCTTTTTGAAAATGGAAATGTTTTGGATGTTTTGACCGTTTCGAAACGATACTTTGATCCTTGCTTCCAATTAGTAAACTAATGGGCAACGAAAGAATCAAAACCCGTTTGGTCCCCAATATCACCTTTCATTAGATAATAACTTGCCAAATTTACTTTGTGAAAAATTATTTTCACGAGGTTGACAAGGGTATTTTTGTAGCTAAGCTCTTCGAATTTCATCCTGATCATTTGGATGATAATCCAAAATTTTATGTATTAGCCGAGGATTTGCGGGAAGATTTTCTAAGTCAATTTCACTACAATTTTTCTTTGAATGATGTCATAAGTCACCCCCACGATCATAACTTTCTTGAGTATGTGGAGGAGGTAGTTCCAATGTTACTTTTCTTTTAAGAAATTTATCCATAACTGATTCAAAATATAATTTGTTTAGTCACAAATTTAAGATTAACTTAATCTATCACAATAAAACTATTTAACCTAGCTAATCAAAATAATTTAATCTTACACATAAGAGCTGGACTATTGGACTATGAGCTCCAATTTCAGTTCAAAATATAAAAAATAAAATTGAGGAGAGGACTATATGTCCCAATTTCAAGTGAACATATAAACAATAAACCTAACACAAAGAAGAGGACTATAAGCCCCAAGTTTAATTCAACATATAAAGGCAACACATAAGAGAGGGCTACAAGCCCAATTTCAACTAAACATATAAAAAATAAAATATAGGAGATGACTACAAGCCTCAATTTCAAGTGAACATATAAAACTAATAGAGGAGAGGACTATTAACTCCAATTCAATTCAACATATTGACATAGCACACACGAGAGATTACAAGCACCAATGTCAATTCAACTTATAAATATAACCAGAGGTGAGGACTAACATATTTTGAAACTTATTAGCCTAATCCTTCAATCGCCGGACGACCCATAAAATTGATACCATTTTTCATTGATGTGAGTTGTGCTGCAGCGGACGATATCTTAAATCCATCCATACATAGACGATCAAATGTCATTATTCAGTTCAATTTCAGATAGTCAAATGTGTAATTTCTACTATTAGGGAAAAAAATTTAAATGGGTAGTAAAAAATAAATCCTAATTACTACCCAAAATTTAAAATTTTTCAAAATAATCGAAATCAAATAAATCATAATGGGTTACCTTTCTATAGTCTAGGTTTGAGAGAATCTCTTAAGCTTTTATTTTCTTCAAAGCCATCCTCTGAATTGAACTTGATAAATGAAGGTTGGAGTCGAAAACTGTGAAGGTCACAAACATGAAGAGCTTGAACGAGTGTGACTGTGTAGAGGCCAACGATTGATAGAAACAATGAATGGAAGAACCGAGAATGAAGAGGGTTGGATGAGTTTTGTTGCTAAAACCTGGAGGAGCTCTCCTTGGTTTGGCTTGAACGAGATTGAGAGATGGTGTTGGACAGGAGGAGTTTTTGTCTTTTAAAGCCACTTTTTGCATTTTCGAAAGAACCATATAGTTGTCAAAATATATATAACTACCCACAAATATTTTGAAATCTTTTCAATGGGGGCAAATCGCTAAAAAATTTTAAAATTTTTGAAATTGTACCTAACTCTAAAATTTTTCAAAATCACAGTGGGGGCAGCTGCCCCACTCCCCCCACAGCAGATCCGCTCCTGGGTGAAGGAAACAGTGTAATACAAAACAGGGTTTCTAGTATGAGTTGTAACATCCATCCCTTCATGCATATATTTATATTAAACTGAATCCAAGAAATTACAATAGTACTCATCATCTCTGGAATAGCAATATAACAATATATGCAAACAGCACTGTACTCTTGTTGATTTTCACATTGTTTGCTACTGTAGCGAACAACTACTTGTGTCCTAGTTTAACAACATCACTATATTATGCAGTGTGAAGCATGTGCAGGTGCAGACAAAAATTGAACTGCTAGATGCTTTATTTACATCTCAACAGGATGATACTGATTGTGTCATAGAAGTTGAGAGCAGCATTGATGCCAATGCAAACTTCCGCAGGTAGTCAGGTTCTATCCCTGCTTAATTTATAGCTACTAGGTTAACAGGTTATCACCTTTATGGTATGCTTATACATTGTGCCTCTTTTCCAGTAGTTTGAAAAAGTTTGCTTGTCAAGCAGCAGATGATACTTTAGGTATCCTGTCAGGACTTTCAGTTTCAGATTCCATCTTCAATGGCTTCATGATTTGCAAAATTTATAAGATGGAGTATTCTCTGTATAGGTGAGTTCTATCTGATGGACAAGTTTAAAAATTTTCTCAGGTAGTGTAAAATCATGACAATCTTTGATATACATTTTCCCAATTGTTATCATGACAGAGTTCAGCTCTCCGCTCCACCAACTTCTGCTTCTGTCAATTCTAATCTTACCACATTGCATAGAGAAGGCTTCATTATAGCTTTATCTCTTGATGATGGAAGTGTAGGGTTTGGGGAGGTTAGTTTAGCTTTTATGTTTTCCTTCTTTTTCTTGTATTCTGTGTGGATGATGTATACTTTCAGCTGGTAGGATGGTATGTCTGGTGCCCTTTTGTTGTACAGATATGTTATTTGTTATTAACCATGATTACATAACAAATGTTGCCAGAATGACTATACCGAAGTAAAGCCTGTGATTACCAAATTTATGCGGGTTCCACGGAGCCAATGTATGCCTTATACAAGTTTTGAAGTTTTCACCTACATTTGTCTATAGAAGGATATGTGTTACTACCCATGGGATGGGTCTGTGGCTTGATCTTGCTCTATAGCTTTCCATTGGATGAATCGGTTTTGTGATGACCACTCATCCCCATAGAAAAATGGTTTTCTGATTACGTCCTACTCCCTGCCCATTAACTAAATACACTTATCATATTTCTCACCCTGATAAATGTTTCTTGTGCTGCTTTGCCATAGTAAGGAGGAAAGTCTATAGCATGTTAAAAGAACTAAGAACAGCTGGTGTATTGCAATCTATTTTGCATCAACAAGATAGATGGAGCTTTCTCACAACAAGAAATTGGAAAAATTTGATGTTTCTATGTTCTAAATCAGATATTCATTGACACTCTTGTGAAAATGCCTCTAAGCCCTTTCTTTTCTTTAAACTGAAACTAGCACAAGAAAATATGAAGTTTGGTCATTGCAGCTGTCATCTGATAACTGGAATGAACAAAACAAAAGGTAAAACTTCAGTTTTTGAAGGCACTAATGTATTTGGAGGATACAATTTTAATTATTAACGATATGTATGTACGTACAAACTTAAGCAGAGTGTGAAGACACTAAAATTGGTAATATGAAATGCTAGACGTTTGGGTTTTGTGTGCTGCTGACAATGCCTTCCTATGTGGTTGAAAGTTACCTTTGTTTGCCATATACATATTTTTTGGTAATTACGTAGATTCTAAGACTTTATAACTGAAGATCCAAAAGTAAGACCTTACACGTCCTCATAAAATTAGAAGGGCAATGATGTAAAAATGTCAAAGATGAAGCTGAATAATGTTTACTTTCTTGTTTGGATTCGAAAAACGAATGTTTTGGTGTGGTCATTGCTTACTGAGGTGGTTGTTCGGTTATCTATTTTAAATTTTTAATGGTACTCAACTATAGGGATTACCGGTTCTTTGTTTTACCTTTAGAAAATAACTTAACGCACCAAGGTTTTTGTTTCTCCATTGAAAAAACTAATCACTGTATAAGGTGTGAACTTTCCTTATTGTTTTAAGAAGTTGATCTTCCCAGCTTGACAATACGCACAGTGCTTCAGTTTTGGGTTGGTTTGGGAGTTGAAGAAGATTAAAATCTGAATGTCGAGTTGCTGTTGTTTAACATGAGGGGCATGGCTGGGAGGAAGGGACTTCATTATTATTGATATTAGGTGCATCATGCATGGTTTTGATAGCAGAGGGAACATTTCTGAAAAGAGGGCAAGTTTATATAGTGACATAGTTACTCATACATTACAAATCATTTCTTTAATTCTCTTTTCTTTATTTTTTGGCTGTTAGAGAGTAATCATAACCAAATTTTTTTAGAAAATGTACATCTCATACATATTTGTCGTCTACAGCCTTCCATTTATCCTTTTCCCCTTTCCTTTCTCTTCCTCCTTTTTGTTTTCTTTTTATATTCTCATGTTTTTTTCTTATTATCTGTACTTTTTCTTTTTTTAAATCCTTTTCGTTCCTGTTTTATGCGTATTACTATTTTAAACAGGTAGCACCTCTGGAAATACACAAAGAAAACCTGCTGGATGCTGAAGAGCAACTTCGGTTTCTTGGTCGTATCATAGGAGGAGCTAAGATTGATTATTTTCTTCCTCTGCTGAAGGGCTCATTTTCATCTTGGATATGGAACAGTTTAGGAATCCCGGTAGGTCCATGCATTTTGATTCTGCATATGTGATGTGTGCCTACAGAATATAACAGCTAGGAAAAATGAGGGAAAGGAGATCCTATTTCTAGTCATAATCCTGAACTTTGCCATCTTTGATGTTAAGTTTCCATTGGTCCATTCTTTCCTTGTTATGTAGCCAGGTTCAATTTGTCCGAGTGTCAGATGTGGTTTGGAGATGGCTGTCCTCAATGCTATAGCAGCTAGGGAAGGTTCAAGTTTATTGAATATACTATATTTGCATGCGAATAAGCAAGAAAAAATATCCTGGAAGTCACAAAATGTTAAAATTTGTGCCCTTGTTGATTCTAATGGGACTCCCAAGGATGTCGCTTATGTTGCCACTACACTTGCAGAAGAAGGGTTCTCTGCAATAAAGCTAAAGGTTAGATGATATTTTCCAAATTATGATATACGGATTTTATTCTGTTCCAAATGAGATGCTATAAAACATTGTTAATACTTGATGTGTTATTATTGGCAAACTATAATTTCAGCCAATCTTGTCAGCCTCAGATTAGTTTATATGTTAACTGGTTAATTCTCCACTTAAAGGTAGCACGTCGAGCCGATCCCATTGAAGATGCTGCAGTTATACAGGAAGTAAGAAAGAAGGTTGGGCACCAGATTGAGCTCCGTGCTGATGCGAATCGGAAATGGACCTATGATGAAGCAATTCGATTTGGGTTTGCTGTGAAAAACTGCGACCTGCAATATATTGAGGTATGCTCCATGGGAACATGGCAAATATGCCCGTACTACACATTCCAACTCCCTAAAAATAAATAACGCTCAATGTGTAGAATTGTAGCACACCACTTTCTGCAAGTAGTGTCAAACGTTTGGTCTCTCCAATCCACCTTCACCCTCGAATTTCTATTATAAATCTTTGTTATTTCAGGAACCAGTTAGTGATGAGGATGACATAATTAAATTTTGTGAAGAAACTGGCTTACCTGTAGCACTGGATGAAACCTTGGACAATATTGCAGAAAACCATCTTGAGGTGCTTGCAAAATTCACCCACTCAAGAATAGTTGCTGTTGTAAGTATAAGTGTATCATCATCATTGCCTTTCTCAGTTTGTGGATTATGTATTCCATTAAAATATACCTCTTGTAGTTTAGGCTCCATTTGGTGGTATGCTTCGCCTTTTAGTGATCTTAACCTAATTTTTTTTCTGGGAAAGATTTTCATCCACTCAGATGGCAACCTAATCTATCTAAAACTTTCCAATCATATATTAATTTAATGAGAACAACCTCTGCCTTGCTGATGTTGTTCCTGTTATTCAATGTTGCTTGAGATCCGAGTGCAAAGTATGGGTATTCGATATTAGGTTAAACTCTCTTGTACCCTCCGTGATTAGCTGTGTAGCATTTTAGCCCATATGGTTTTAAATCGTCTTCTCTTTCTCTTTCCGTTGTTCTTCTAGCTTCAATTAAAATAATGGAATAAAAAAACCAACAATTCAAAGGGCAAAAATTGAAAATTCAAATATACTCTTGTAGGTCCATAGAATCTGCTATTATGTCAACGTGTTCTTATTCTTTAACCAAATCGGCTTTACACAGAAGAAATTTTCAAGGGAGAGAGACATGGGGTGGCATTGGCTTGAATTGTGAGGGGAGTCGATGACCAACTGTATAAATTGGCTCAGTGTGTTAAATTCATACCAATCACTTCTCATGGGAGGTCATCACAGACAAACTGGGTTTCAATTTCAACAGCCACATTCACAATCTGATGAACGTTGTTGCCATTACAGTTGCTTCTTTAGCGGCAGTACATTAGTTAAAAACCACATGGTTGTTTTTGGTTATTTTTTAACCAAAAGGGGGTAAAGTTCTTTAAGGCCAAACCATAAGGGGTAAAATCCATTTTACACTCAATGTTATCCATATTAAAACCTCATGCCTACCACATTTCAGCAATTGGATACAAGTCAACCCAAGCAAGCATTTTCATAGAATGGTGGTATTGTCTCTGTCTACATAAATCTAGATGTCATAAGTTTTTAATGCTTATTTTAGTTATTATTACTGTTGTTCTAAGTACTACTTGCTGAAGACCTACATTTATGTTGCAACAAAACTATAGCTACTAACAAAATTTAGGATACAAGCAGGTGAAAAAGTTTTTCAATCCCCAAAATGAATTGTGTTGTGGCCTTGGTGTCTCATCTCCGAAATCTTGTTAAAAACATGTTGCAACCACTGGGAAAGGATCTTCTGCTAATTTGATTTTGCTATGATGGGTCTTGTCAGGTTATCAAACCAAGCATTGTTGGGGGTTTTGAAAATGCTGCACTGATTGCAAGATGGGCTCAGCAGCATGGGAAGATGGCTGTTGTCAGTGCTGCATTTGAAAGTGGCCTAGGTTTGTTGGCTTATATTCAGTTCTCTAGTTATGTTGAGCTTCAAAATGCAGCTTTGTGTAGAGTGATGAATAAGGAACCAGCATTATCCGTCATCCATGGTCTTGGGACTTACCGATGGCTTAAAGAAGATGTAATGACTGAGCCCCTGAAAATTTGTCGTAATCCACGTAGTGGCTTTGTGGAGGCATCTATTGTTGATGCTGTTCAGCTGCTGCAGAAATTTCAGATCAATAAAAATGTCATTGTTCGAACCTTTACTAGGGAGCAAGTTCGTAATTACCAGTTATCAGTCGACTCAGAGCATTTCTCCTTCTCCTTCAATATTCAAGAGATTGGACCAAGCATTGATGTAAGCAAGGATCTATACGTTATCCGTATACAGTTATATTTGTTTATTAAGATGTATCCTGCCATCCACTTGGCTGAAACAACTCTAGAGAACTCTACAACTTGCCTACATAATGACAGATATTTAGACAACACTGAAAATATTGGACGAAGATATTGCATAGAACATAAGAGCATGGTTCTGAATTATGACAAAGATATGGGTTTGTTTTCTGGTCCCAATGTATCATACTTTGTCGTCAGATATGTTTTTCCTTTATTACTTCATATAAACTATAAACTATATGCATATAAATATATTTACAATTGCTTCTTGTGTGTACTTTACGAGACTCTCTGATAATTTCTGCTACCTATTTATATGTAGCAATTTTCATGTTGGGATTTGAACAATTATCTCTGCCCTACATAGGTTTGTATCTGTGATTATTTCCTCTAGAATGTGGCTGGATCACTTCCATGCCATCAGCTTAGCTTGTTAAATTGGTCTGTTTTCTGTTGTTCTCATTGCTCTGAAAGGACTAAATTTAGCTACTCATAATTATGACCGTTTCTTACTTGCTCACTCTTCCAATTGATGCAGAATAGTGTACTTGTGTTTCTTCATGGCTTGTTTGGAACTGGTGAAGACTGGATTCCCATTATGAAGGCCATCTCAGGATCTGCAAGATGTGTTGCAATTGATCTTCCTGGACATGGGGGATCTAAGTTACAAAAAATGTCCGATCATGAGGCAGCACAAGAACCAAATTGGTCAATTGAGGTAGTTGGAGATATGCTATGCAAGTTGTTTCATCAGCTTACAAATAGGAAAGTTACTCTTGTTGGATACTCAATGGGTGCAAGGATTGCATTATACATGGCCCTGAAATGCAGTGATAAGGTAATTCATGGATGTATTGGGTTTTTTTTTTCTCATTTCAAGCAGCGTATATAGTCAAGCAGCTAACGTAGAAGTAGCATATGTTATATTAGGTTCAAGGAGCTGTTATAATTTCTGGAAGCCCCGGATTGACTGATAGAGAAGCAAGGAAAGTTCGTTGTGCTAAAGATGATTTCAGAGCATGCTCCCTTGTTTCATATGGCCTAGAGGGCTTTCTAGACAGCTGGTATGCTGGAGAGCTGTGGAGCAGGTAGTTACTGGGTTTCTCTTTCAAATGTTTGCTTCTATTCTTGCTTTAGTTGTACTAGTTTTTTGGCTTAAATGTATGGCCTGCTAGATAATATCTTTTAAACCTGCAGCTTAAGAGGCCATCCACATTTCAAGCGAATAGTAGCTAACCGTTTGCAGCAAGATGACGTGCACACTCTTGCTAAAGTTTTATCTGATTCAAGTGTTGGGAGGCAGCTGTAAGTTTCTCTAGTTTTTCCAATTTTCATCTACATAGGGAGTTTCAGTTTCTCAAAAAACTGCTATACCTGCTAAATCACCTTCAGGACACATTTGAAGGGGTTGAACAAAGTCTGAATTTTTCAAAAGGAATGATCATGTTGTCGTCTTGAACTAGGTCGTTTACTTGGGGAAAAAGAATTCTTTAAAGTATGTTATCTAAATAGATGTTATCTGACAAACGATAATGAAATAAGTTCATGGGAACAATAGCATCATTGTACCACAAGCTAACACCATATCAAATCAAAGTTGTCCATTCCACACACAAGGGCTACTACTCAGGTAAATACAAGTATACAGCCACCCAACATAAGGCTCTGCTTTAGTGGGCTGGCATGTGCATTTTGATAATCAAGGCTGTGCCGAGATCTTCATCTCTTGCATGAGCTATGTTTCTCAGAAAATTTTCTGTAATCAGTTGAACATTTTTCCTCGTTGTATGATAGGCCATTATGGGAAGATTTGAAACACTGCAAAGTACCCGTTCTGCTGATTGTTGGAGAGAGAGATGCAAAGTTTAAGAGGATTGCAAAGGACATGTGCTCGATTATCAACTCTGGTACATGGAGTAGAGATCATCCAGCAATAGTTGAAATTCCTAACTGCGGGCATGCTGCCCATCTTGAGAATCCTCTCCCTGTTATCCGTGCAGTGAGAGAGTTTTTAACAACACTAAAAGAAGAGTTCGTGAAGTGGCAAGGACTTTGTCGAGCACTTCAATGATTTTTTGGCAAAGCTGGGGCATCGCTATTATGCAACCATTTTATTGTCTCGATTAGGGGTGAGTCATAAAGTTTTGTAGTATGAAGAAAATTGAAGGCTATATTCATGGAGAAAGTTGAATAAAACAACATCTACGCAGGCCATTGGAAGGCTTTAAGTTGTGATTATGTTTGCTGTAATCACTACTCAGAGACATAGCTTACCTTCTTTATACTACTTCAATATGGACTAGATGTATTGCATTCGAAGTGTTGCTATATTTCAGTTTGGAGTAACCCTCGGTAATCTTGTTTTTAACATTGACATTTTGTTAAGATTCTGGGAATTCTAAAGCTTTGTCCTATGCAAGAAACTAAATTTCGGTTTGAAACGTTTCCATTTTCATGGAAACCAAAATGAATTATTGATTTAGTATCAAAATTCTTTATGTTTTGAGATGTTTTGATGTGTTTCGGCATGTTTCAACTTATGTTTCTGAGTGTTTATGTATATTTTGATTAATGTATTGGAAATAAATTTTCTAAATTTTTTTGTTTCCATCTTATTTCTGAAATGTTTTCGAAATATTACCGAAACATTTTTATTTTCAAGCTCATCATAACAAAATTTTGATCTTTGGTCTTATGTTTGTCTTGCTATTTCAAGACAACGATCACTTGTCTGCACATTTCATAACCCTTCGCTCTTTTGTTTTGGAGTATTTCTGACTGGAAATTTTGCACAAGTGAGGGTTGGATAATGGCAAATCAGGTCAGCTGAAGAAAGATCCCTAAAATCATTTTAAAGGCACTAGACGATGACAGCATCAGGAGTAAGAATCAAAATTTTGTTTTGAAATAGTCGAATAATCCTAAATGTTTTTATTTTTCAAGGTCATCGAAACGAATCAACAATGAAATTAAAATTCTAATATTTCGAGGTTTTTTATAATGTTTTGAGATGTTTTGTAATATTTTAATACATTTGTACAATTATTTTAGAATATTTTAAAGTATTTCAAGATATTTTATTACATTTTGATCAATGTTTTGAAAAAATAATTTTAATTTTTCCATTATATTTTCAAAACTGGTTGAAACGTTTTTGAAATACGTCAAAATATTTTTGTTTCCTAAGTGCTTAAAATAATACATCAAAATAAAATTTTGAGCTCCGACCCGAAGACCTAGTAGTTGAACTCAGAATGGGTTGCGTGCAGACAAATTGCTTCACGGGAACTATTCATATGCATGACTTGACCCTTGACAATTACGGGTCATTGTTCACACATTTAGACCTAAAGCACGCAAATTGTTGCTAAATTAATGCCATGTCGTTATGACAAACCGGTTGTGTTTTGTTTTCCATCGTGACATATTTGATTTGAGTTATAATTACTAATTTGGTATGACAGTTTGTCACCACCGCATTATCAAAGTTAAATAGTAAACTGCGTTATTCTCATGAATCAAATCATGTTTGGTAATCATATGAGAGTCAAGGACGACATTAAATGCGTACGACTCTAAGTGAATACAACTTACCATTAGACCTACTCTCAAAATCTAATTCATTATTATTATTGAATCCACAATGACTATTAATATTGATTGCAAGTATTGCCAATTTAATGCAGAGCAGAAAAAGGAAGGCCAAACTTAATAATATCTAGATAACTATATGAGTGGCAGTCGTGAAGCACTTGACTTCCAGCCAAAAAACTGTGTAGCTTGACTTACAAACCAGTGTATTATTGTGCAATAAGCACTCTGAATTTATTGTTTGATACTTTTCCTTCTCCCCAAGCTTCTTTTCCAGAAAGTAGAACTTCTCATTGGAAGTAGCAATGGGGCAATTTCAGAATCTTTGTGGTTCTCTTCTCTTTCTTGCTCTTCTGATCATCTCTTCTTCACATTTGATCATTGCAACACCTTTATATTACACAATGGCCAACTTATTGACCTCCTGGACCAACAATCCCACGCCTATGAATTCCTCAGATGATATCACATTTAGAACTGTTCTTCATGCAGGAGCAGGAAGCTCTAACCCACAATTTTTCTGTGGCTTCTATTGCAACAATAGTATTGGTAATAGTAGACCCCCACAAGTAGTCTGGTGGCGAATCGAGACAATCCTGTCAAGATTAATGCAACAGTGAACCTCACAGAAGATGGAGATTTGGTGTTGAGAGAGGCAGATGGAACCTTGGTTTGGTCGACAAACACTAGTGGTAAGAATGTTTCAGGCTTAAGCTTGACAGAAATGGGGAACCTTGTGCTTTTTGACAGAAACAATGCAACGGTTTGGCAGTCATTTGATCAGCCCACAGACTGTTTAGTTCCTGGGCAGAAGCTGCTTTCGGGGCAGAAGCTGATTGCTAGCGTATCAACATATAATCTGAGTAGAGGATTTGTAGGTGGAGAGTTAAATGAGACTTGCACACGTGTCTATTACTAAAAATAATCGAGGGGATGAGTAGAGTAAACAAATGAGATGGTATGAACTCGATCGGCCTATTAACGAAGTTACCAACCAATTGGCCATACGGTAGATGGAGCAAGTGTTTGTTTTTTTCTTTTTTTGAGAAACATCGATAAAATTTTGTTACTCAGGAATGTCAGCTAAAAGTAGAGGCATAACAAAGTCTAGTGCCTGCTCCAACCATACAACGCTACTATTTAATGGTAAAGCAAAACGAGTTAATTCATGACCTACTTTATTCCAGTTGTGTCTAACTTCGGATACTTCAAAAAGTCGAAAACTCCTCTCTATGCTACTAATATCTTGGAAGATAGCTTCAAGAGGATCAAAATCTCTATCACCATTCCTTATAGAATTCATAACACATATCGAAACCCCTTCCAAAATGACTTTTACTATTTCTTGCTGCTTTGCAAATTGTATTGCAATCTTTGCTGCAATAGTTTCTGCTTTTCTAATATTACAACTCATAGCAATCCTTTTGGACAAGGCCCCTACAAAGTAACCCCTATCATCTTGTATGACTACCCCACAACTAAGATATTCCGATCTGCATATACAGTAGCATCAAAGTTAACTTTGAAAGTACCTGCCCTTGGAGGACACCACCCAACGTTGGGAGTTTGCTCGGCAAGGGGCTGAGCTGCTGCCTCCCTATATTGACTGCAATATTCAGTTGCCTTCATCTGCACTTTGGGGGTCTTGAACCATATTTTCAAAAATTCTAATGTTTCTGTTTCTCCACACAAACCAACACTGAATAAGGAACAAAGAAAACTCATCAATTTGGAGGGCCTGATGAGCTTCACGCACCCACTGCCCAGAATCAAATGAGCTTCACGCACCCACTGCCCAGAATCAAGGGACATAAGTTGGCTTACTACCTTTAAAGAGCTGCAACACCATACTGCCTTGGCCCAAGTGCAATCTAAGGACTCAGGTTCATCTTGACACACTGCACAACACCTATTCACCTCAATTCTCCTTCTTTGAAGATTGTCCCCTGTTGGTAATATGTTGGAACAGACCCGCCAAACAAAAATCTTAATTTTATATGGTATTTTCTGGTTCCAGATACAGTTCCAGTCCAAGTGTCCAGCGCTAGAGGATGGAGACGAATTGGTTGGGCCTGCCTGTCACATCCCAACTCTAAGGGCATGACCAGCCGTGAACCATTGATCCATAACATATGGAACACATAAGCCTAACAATAAACTAATAATATAGGAGCGAAAAATAACATTAACACTAAATTGATCTTATGTCAATATATCAAAGTCAACATACCTAAACTTGTTTGTCCCAATTATCCAAACAAGTAAAGATGGTTATACGATATATGCTACGGAGGTCACAACACTATTAGTCCCAAATCAATTCCCTGAGTCCGCTATTGACACTCTAATCGTTTACCTAGAAAAAAAATATTATTTTGAAAACATGAGCTAAAAAGCCCAGTGAATGGAAAGACATGCATATTCAAAGTGACTGAAAAACATATTTGGCATATGACATGTAAATCAAAAGTTCGAAAAAATAACTTCATCAAGATAATCAATTTTTCAAAAATAACACAATCGGATTTCAACAAGAAATCATACCACAATGGTGAATCATATCATAATGGTGGAGACTGTACAATATCCAATAATCGATGGAAACTAAATACCAAATACAAGAAAATATGTATGACATACGACAGATAATCATAAACAAAGCCAGTAAAAAAAAACGTTGTGACAATAACAAATTATATAATCATCTCATACTGGTAAGGACTTGTACGATATCTGAGAACCATATCAAATGCTAGAAGATCTCAAGGTTGGATCCAACATCGTATTTAGGGTCACCACAGCCTCCCCGGGTCTGTTCCCTAAGGCGATCCGGTGAAGGTCACCAGGACGTACCAGGTACTGTTCCTTCAACCGTTGAGCATTAGGGTCACCTCAACCTCCCCCAGGTCTGTTCCCTAGTGGCCAGGGTCACCTGCACACAGAGGAATAATTTTCCTGGACTTTCAGTACCAAAAGCTAGAATATATCTCAAGTTAGATTCAACTGTTGGGATTTAACTCGATTTAAATCCACTAACAAACACACACAATCGAAGAACAAATCAAGAATATAAAACAATAAGAAACAAGAAAGAACAAGACACAGATTTTACATGGTTCGGCAATTTGCCTACGTCCACGAAGCTGCAGGGATTTCACTATTGAGAGAGTTGAATTACAGAGAGTGGCTGTACAATCCACAACAAAACCCTAATCACCAAAACAACAGGGTTTATATGTCCTACGCACTGGGCTGTATAACGGGCCCAAAAATTTTCCTCGGGGGCGTTGCCCCCGAACCCCCACGAGGCTTGTCCACGAGCGCTACTACGGCTTGGGCCTATCGGCCCAAGCCTTCGCTCCATGGACTAAGCCTCATAAAATTTCCCATTAAAAACCACACAACATTATTTCGGGTCGGGTCATCATTCAGATCACATATACAAACTAGACTCCATAAAAAAAAAAACCAACATCAAGATCGTACTTAGGGTCACCACGGGTTGCCGCCCTAGAACTGTTCCCTAAGACGATCCAGTGAAGGTCACTAGGACGCACCAGACACTGTTCCTTCAACAGTTGAGCACTAGGGTCGCCTCAGTCTCCCCCGGGTCTGTTCCCTAGTGGCCAAAGTCACCCGCACACAGAAGAATAATTTCTCTGAACTTTTAATTTTGGTCCCATTTACCATCACTAAGTCTCACCATATAAATGATTAAGTTACAAGAATTCATCAAGAATGCAGAATCGTATGCCACAAATATTTAGACACTTAGTAAAACATTTTGTAAAGGTAGTAATGAACAAGTTTTTAAAATGTTTAGGGATACGGGAAAATTTTGAAAATATGTAGCATGTCAAACTACTCACTTTAAGTGCAAAGAGAATGATATGCTGCTTGAGTGTTGCTTGTTACCCGAAGTAGAGTGAGATGTTATTGATGCCTTTTCTCTTTTTCTCACAATTTCCTTTGATGAAATGCTCTTCCTTCCTTCTTCTCTCTTTTACTCTCTATTATTTCTTGAAAGTGGAAGACTACTTGTGCCCTAGTTTCCTTAATCCAATCCTCAAATGCCTTATTTATAGGCATCTTAGGATTATTCTAGAGAATATTGACATGTGATATTTTTAGGGGAGATTCTCTAGAATATTCTACCATCTCCCCTCTCCTAGATCCTTATAGGTTTCCAACTTATTTTGCACATGACAATTCTACAAGTATCTAGATTCATCTATAATATTCTAAAGTCTTCTCCAATCTTCTAAATCCTTCTGAAACTTTCTGAAACATTCTAAATCTCTCTAGAATCTTCTAAAATATTCTAAACTTCTCTAGATTGTTCTAGAATTTTTTGGATTCTTTTAGAAACTTCTTTAATATTCTAGATTCTTTGAGATTGTTTTAGACTATTCTAGGTTATCCTTGAATTTTCTAGAATCTTCTAGACTATTCTAAATTCTTCTTTAAATTTTTTCTTATTCCTTCCAAGATAATATTCCTTAACTAGTTCTTTGCCAAATTGGAACGGGATATTACATTCTTCCCCCCTTAAAATAATTTTGTCCTCGAAATTATGCTAGTTATTCCAACCGAATAAGTGTGGTATTCTTGATGCATTTGCCCCTTTGAAAAAAAAATGGCCTCAACTGCATGATCCTTTATAACCAGTTAACCAATTGATTTGTCTTTTGTCTAGAGCCTGTATTGTTGCTGCTCTTAGGTCAAGCCACTATATGAACGTAGAATGGTTCATTGTAAATCACATGCAATGAGCTATAAATATTCTTACTTAACATAGACGCATGGAATATGTTACACCCGCAACAAGTCGAGGTGATAAAGCCTCTTAATAGACTGCCACACTAACTCTATTCGGGACTTTGAAGCGTCTAATGCTTCTTGACCTTTCTTTAAATTGAATAGCCTCTCAAAGAATTGTAAAATTCAATAACTAAATTATTATCACTTCTTATTCCATAATTAGCCGATCAAAACTCAAAGCAAAACCATCCAGTTCTGCAATCTTGTCAAGTTTCATCGTTGATTTCGATAAGCTATCTAAGTCTTCACTCCATCAAACTCTTTAGATTGACATTATAGAACCAAAACATGATTAAAAATAATGCCCATCTCAGATTTCACACATTAAAGAATTAAGGCATGGGTGGTTTCCGAGGTTAAACGGTTACTTCATAAAACCCAAGGCATCCTCGAGGAAATCAAAGTAGAATGGATTTGACCACATTAAAGATAACACCTTTTTGGAATCATCATTACATGTCAAGAATGTCTACAACTAAGATTCACAATTTGTTCTTAATCATTTTTTTATTCTTTTAAGGTTCACAATTTGTTCTTAATCATTTTTATATTCTTTCTTTCCTAGACTCTCATGATATTGTTACTAGTCCCCACTTATTACCTTTAGAATATATCGTTAAGATGAAGCACCTTGCCATATCACAGAATAACTCATGGCTTCCAATCCATTATTATATTGTCTACCCTAAACCTCGCACATCAAACTCATCTATGCGTAACCTAATAATTCTTGTGCACCTCAGAAAAACAAACTTATCTGATGAAGAAGAAATTGATAATTAACCTTTACAAGTTGCGAACCTAAAACCATCAGCATCTACCATCTCATATATCTCTTTCTTCAATTGTCTTCCATTAAAATTGTTCTCTTCCTTTACTAACTCATTTATGTATAAAACTTGACCCATCTCTCTCTCCCAGGCAACTTCCACAATGATCAGTCATACCCAAAATCTCTCTTCTTTAAAAATACTTTATTCTTCAAAATTCATAATATCTTTTCTCCTCTTATTGAAATTAAGTAGTCCATTTTTGCAACTTTTGATGTGCACACTGTCAAACTATTAAAATTTATGCAATTGCAGCTATGTGAGCTAATTTAATATTTGTTTCCCCAAGATTGATTGATTAATCATCATTACTTGAAGCGGGTTTAAAAGATCAACTCTAGAGACTCAGGACCTCCACCCTAACATTTGACATTACCACAAGACTAGTTCCTTTTACAGAGCTAAAAATTTAGAAAGAAATAACCAAAATCACCAATATCATTCTAAGTTACCGTAGTTATCTTAGAAGATCCAAATATTGATTACATTAATCGAATTATTAGGTCAAATCAATACATTAATCTCTAAAGATAACCAAGTACAATATAGACTCTGAAGTTTGCTCCATTGCTTGTCTATTCAAACCTTATGACCCAACCAATTAAGAAGTTCTTCTATAATCTGATAATTTAACACCTATCACATCACTCAAATATTTTCAAAATAAAATGATATTCATTTTATACTAGTAAGAATCAACGTATTATTTTCCTCCAATTACTATGAATCTCTCTGAAATAAAATTCCAGTAGTCTCAAAATTCTCTAACCATTCAATAATCAATGATCGGCCATTAAATCGCTACTCTTAAAATATCACTTCTCCAAATGTACCCACAAAACCATCAATTTAAGATAGAACGATGTATCTTAAAACTTTTGATTTTTCGATTTTCCAACAATAACATCAGAAAATTCCAAGTTTCCATAATTTATTCATAAGTATGACTTTCTTCACTAGCACCCGATCAAAAACTATACTATGTCGACTTACTATTAATCAACAAAAACTCATGAACAAATCAGACTTTTCATCCACATACTCAAATTCATCCACTAATTCTATGAAAATAATCCATATTGTTACCTTTTTACTTCATAACTATCAAATTTTCTATAAATGCCTAACTATAAGATAGTTCAATCTCAATAAGTCTTCCCGAAATGAAACTCCTTGTGACATCTTACTACCACTCATCTTCAAGAATCAAAAGCAATCTAAATAGTTATCTTCTTAGAGTATATACCCGACCTTACAAAAATTTTCACTCAAATCTGTAAATGAAGAGAATTAGTGAAACTCCTCCACCAAGTCAAACATCACATCCTTAAGTTATACCGACAAGTCTCTATGAATAACACCAATTTGGATACCTCTAGGCTTGATTCTTCTTCATGTCAATCAAATCGGATTTTTCTCTTATGCGTTCCAAGCTTACCATAAAAGAACTCAC